GAACAGAACTCATAGTCCTTACTGAAAGGAAGAATGAGAGAAGAGTTAAGTTTGTCTGTAGTTTCATTCATGTCTTCATCTACATCATGTATTAAATGCTTCATTTTATCTCCATTAAAAATGCAAGTCAGAAATATTCAGAACATAGCACCGAGTCTAACTGACAAGAGTATAAAGATATACTATGAACATGTTATGATGAAACCAACCAAAATTCAAGAAAGTCAGTATACTTATGAATATCCAAGACACTGGGTAGAGTATGTAGGAGGTGAGAAAGCTATTGAAATCAGACAGGTTCGAAGTATTCCAGCAGGAAGAACAATATTATTGAAGAACTTTAATGTTTTGAGATATAATGATGAAACAAAGAAGCAAGATAGTTTCCCTGTTGCTGTGTATGTGAACCTAGACACAGGAGATGACATGAAAGTTTTTAACACAAAGCTTCAAACGGTAGTGAGAGAACAACTGACTGCGGAAGGGCATCCATTGCCTTCAGAAGTTACCATAGCATATAATTTTGAAACAAACTCAATAGATTTTAAAGTCATCTCTGCAAAGAAGTCAGGATTTACATTTAATGAAGCAGATGTATATTCGAATGAAAACTTCAAAGCTATTGCATGGTTAGATAATGACGATTGCTTTAAGAAAATATTTAAATTCAGTGACTCAACGATGTCAATAGATGACCTTCGTGGAATGTTACCATCGACGTTTACAGTAGAAGGTTCAGCAGGATTGCTTACAGATTGTCAATTGGTGGTATTTGGTCTCGTGAGAACATTGTTATAAAATCCAGTATAAGTGAATTTGCTGAAGAATCTATATTATGTCTTTCAAACTACATGTATTCGCCGCCGAAGCATTATAGTATAACAAACTTTGTCAGTAAGTTTAACATAAGACTTGTCGAACCTTCTTCAATGAAAGATGTTGTGCTACCTAAAGATGGAAAGGATGGACTCATTATTGAGATGATTTTAATAGCATATTAAATGAGCTTGTTCTTGAAGGTCATTCATGATGAAATAACTGTTGTAGAAGATGTTAGCAATTGTTCAGACATTTTGAAGCGTATAGATGATATAAGAAAGAAGTTAGATAGACCGCAAAGCGGTGAGGGCAAAGCCCGTGAGAACGCTTATGTTTCATTGACTTTCTCCAGTAACGAGAACTTTTATGAGATAATATTGAAGAGAGATGATTTTAATATGGGGTAAATGGTAGCTTGGGCAGCTTTAGGCGCAATGGGAACAAAAGCATTAGCATTTGGAGCAAAAGCACTTGGAGCTTATGACGCAGTAAATAAAATGAGTGGAGGAAGGGTTTCGAAGACATTAGATGCAAATAAAGGAAGATTGGAGGCTGGGTTGCAAAGAAGTTAAGATTAAATAAAATGGGGCTCATAAATAAAGCATCCAATTTGGTTGCGACTGAGTCAGAAAATGCTTTAGGAAAGGACGATGAGTTTGCAAAACACGCAAAAGACTTTAATGACCAGATGAAAGGTGAAACAATGCATTTAAATAGAGTCGATGGAACTAAAGAAAATGTTTCTTCTCCACCAGTAGTTCTTCCGTATGGTCCCTATGGAATGTATGGAAACCCTTACGAAAGACCATTTGACCCATTGACTGGTGGAAGTAACTGGTATCATTACGGCCGAAGAAGAAAGACAGTCAAGTTGGAGACAGACGTGAAGAAAGCAACTAAAAAGAAACCAAGGAAGAGAGTTATAAAGCAATGAATTCAACAGGGTGAAAACCCGGGTGAAAAAAGAGGTGAGATTTCACCACTTCACCTAAATTTATTTTTTGTGCTATGTTTTCATACGTGTGAGGGTGGTGATATCATTTATTTTTAAGTTTATTTTTTATTTTACTGAAAATTTTTATTTGGATGTAAATGACAGAACAAAAGCAACTCATTCGAATTCCACAGTATAACAAACATACATTTAAACATTTATTCTTCCTTCCTGAGCATAACATGTTCTTTCAAATACATCCGAGACCAGTTGACTTTTCATTGACTGTGTATAAAGATAGAAATAGTTATATCATTAAACCATACGATGACGAAGGTAAGTTATGTAAATTGTACGTTAAGAAGTTAGAGAAAGTTTATGGCTTCAAGTATGACTACAATAGGGTTAACACTGATGATGAAGATATTGAGGAAAATTTATGAGAACATTAGTGAAGTCGTTAGTGAGAACGATAGTGAGAACGTTTATTTTTTACATTAGTGAGTTCGTTAGTGAAGTGGTTGGCGGCTTTGTAAAGTGTCAAATTCACAAGTATTGGATAAGGTGGAACGCAGTGCCGCCGTACCCAAGACTTGTATACTAACTATAAAAATGCTTAAGTAATCACTTCATTATTTCAACAATGATTGATGCAGTACCGACGTACTATAAAGACATTGAGGTCGGTACTAAGCATCAGTATCTTAGATATAAAAAACCAGGCGACAAGTACGGAAAATATTATGTTAAATGCAATGAACTAGTAAAGCGTCCTGACGGAACTATATGCCACTGTGCAATGGAAGAAATGCGTGAGGATCATTTCAAAAAATGGATCCAAAACAAACGGCACATATGCACACCAGGAGAAGTAGCATCACAACAAACAATCGATCAATACTATCAAAACGTCCCAGCAACAGGGCTTACACCTATATCGTTAGGGGATATCTATGAACAGCTTGCTACATTTACTGGAAGATTTAACGTGGCTCTGAATACCTTCTCAAGCCCAGAGTTTACAAAGCTAGTTAAAACCATTATAATATATACTGCAGACTCGATGATATTGAAGTTCCCACAGTTACACAATGTTAACATCAATGTTGATAAACTAGCTTCTCAAATATACCAGCCTATTTCAACTGACAAACTAAGGCAAACAATGATACAAATTGCAAATTCAATCCATGTTGCAAAAGTTGATGAGTTTGCTAAGCTTGCCTGTACCTGTGTTGCCATTGATGAGGGGAAGACTCAGCAGTTTCACAATCTGGACTTCTCCCTCACAAATCCTCTGCAAAGCAAGCGGCCCTATCCTGTTGAGTCAATCCAAATGAATGGTGGAACATCTGAAGATTATATCCACTCGCTTACTCAAGGATTTAACAGAATCTTCATTAGAGATGTTAAGATCAGCAGTGTAGTTTGCGATGGCAATAAAGCGCAATTGAAATGTTTTCAGAAAGGATGGAATCAATCGTTCTACAACTCAAATGACCCAAGGTTATTCAAAATCTTGTTTATCCCGTGTTTATGCCACAGGATTCATAATTGTTATCAATATATGACAACAAAAGACGTAGCATTAGGAGCAATTGTGAAACATATCCACGAAATATCAGCTCTTTGTAGAATCCATGTTGAAGACATCGGAGCTCTCTGTCCAAAGCATGTATCCACCAGGTGGATCTATGATTATAATATTTGTATGTTTATTATCAAGTATCAAGACAAAATTTCAAGATATACGCGTATTGATATTGAAAACATCAAGTTCTTAAGAGACTGCTTGGCAATTCTCAAGAAGCTTATTTCCACGTTCGAATCAGATAAAACCAAGATATCTGATTGCTACGTATGGCTTTGCAAGGGTATTGAAGCACTCCAATACCTTTCCAGCAGCAACAACAATCCTTTTGCTGGAATCCTTTCAAGATCGTTGTTGAACTATACCCTTGGATCGGACTTTGGAGGTCTTTGGTGCTTAGCCTTCGCTTTTACACCGAAAGGTAGGTATTATTTCAACCAAAAATTCGTCCACGGAGCGCAGATCAACGAATCTCCGGCAATTAATTCATTTGATATTACAAACGTAACTTTCGTTAATCCAGTAGAAGACATTCAATCTATCTATATGGACTCTATCTTTGAAGAAGGTTCGACTGAAGTTTCTCTTGATATGGTTGAGGAGGGATCAATTCGTCAGGTAACTGCTACAATTGACCCTCCTATGCTTGATCTCGCAGATGTAACATCTAGTTCAAATCAGCCGGTTAACCATTTTGTTGCAGCTAGGCAGTATCTCAAAAGTATTTTGGAACAATTTCGTATTCCGGGTCAAACAATAACAGATATTATTACACTATTTAACACGTATATTAATAGTGATAATGATATCTTCTCTGATGATATGATTCAAGAACGTCAAGAATACGGTTGGGAAGAAATCTCTCATAGAGATGGCAATGTATCAATCTTTGCAGATATCGCCCTTCGTGTTATCTCCGCTTCACCTTCAGAAGCAACATGTGAGAGAACAATAAAAGACCAAAGATTGATACTAAATTTGAAAAGATTACGTTCTCACAAAATTTTATTAGATAGCCGAGAAATTTTAATGGCTACAAAATAAATATCTATATTTATTATTAAAAATTGTTTTATATTTTATCTGTTCAATATTTATCTCATATAAAAATTTGAAATACTTAATCAAAATTTCTATGTGTTTGTTTGAAAGAGATCGATAGCAATTCATATATCTTTTGAATTTGCTAATTGTGGTGATGGTACTATTATTATTAATTTTTTATTTTTATTTTTTTTATTTTTTATTTTTTTTTTTTGATAATATACTATTTAGATTTATACATTCATTCAATATTATGAAATAAATATTTCTAAATTGATCTGATTAATTTTTCATTAAAGTTTATATTATAACCAAATAAATTTTCGAACCCTTAGAGTCATAGTTCAATGGTAAGAGTCATAGTATAATCGTAAAGTCCATTGGTTCGAATCAAGGGGATTTTCACACTTTTTTCTTTTTTAAAATTTCAGAGGTTTATTTTTAAGGTTCTCGCTGGCGACCCCCCGTTCGTCGAAAAAAAATTTGATTTTTGCTGGCGACCCCCCCAATCACCAATTTTTTTTCGACGAATGGGGAGTCGCCAGCGAGAACCTTAAAAAAATCCCAAAAAGGTGACATTTTGGGTGTATCGTCTATCCCAGGGATAGAAAAATGACTTCACCTTGGATCTATATTATTGATTTTCTACTTGAAAACGGTGCTGATCCAACAATGCGCTATGAAGGGAAGACAGCTCTAAGATTATGCATAGAAAATGATTTCGAAGATAATGTAAAACATCTAATACAGCACGATACCAACGATATTCAGCTAAAATTCGAAAATGATATGACGTATATGCATATTGCTATTAAACATGGCAATCCTATATTTGTAAGATACATTATTGGAGCTAATATCTTCCAAGAGTATTTAGATGAGAATGATAATAGTTATCTACACTATGCAGCATTATCAGATAATAAGGAAATCATTAAACTTATTATTAATTATCAGAAAAAGATAGCTTTAACATATAAAGATGGAATGACACCTCTGATGATTGCTGTTAAAAATAGTAACACAAAATTTATTAATGAATACATGAAGTACCACGAAAACTATTGGATTCCAATCAAAGATTTTTATCGTTCATTATTCTATTCGATCATTCTGAACAACAACACATTTGAGTATTTTCTTCCTTATTTTGCTACATATTTTGAATAAACTATTTTTTATTTTATTTTTTGTTAAGTGATTCCTTTTCTTTATAATTTTAAATTTGTTTTAAGATATAGGATTAAGTCCATCTGACAGCTACTGTGAAGAATCATTAAAAATCAACCTTAAACAACATAATTGAAGGCCGTGCCATACATATGAAATGTCACCCTGAAGTGTAATCGTTCTGAAGATAACATTATCATGTATTATACCATTTCATTTTTATAAATCGCTTTATTGTGTCATTATGGTTATTATACCTTTTTGCACTTAATATAAGAATACATTGACTTTGTGAGAAGATGTCAGAAATGGTAAACACACTTTTAGGAGTGTACACTGCCTTATTCGAATTTAATCCTGATTTGTGTCAAAAGCACAAAGCAACATTTGAAAATCAACATTAAACAGCAGTAAATATTACCATTACATACATTTGCACCCTTAAAAAAAATAAAAATTATAAAAATTTATAAAAATAAAACAAAGAAAATTTATAATATATCAATAAATAAATAAAAAATTATTCGTTTGTCAATGAATTAGCAGCAGCTTCCGAAGACTTGAAAGATGCTTCAGGCAAAGAGTCAACTTTAGCATTGACTTCCTTGAAATGGTTAATTGCAGCTGCAGAAACTAAACCGAACAGCCAAAGTCCGCTGAACTTTATCGAATCAACTTTCTTTATCTTTCCGAAAGCCCTCTTCCATGCCTCTTTTGGTGTTGCTCCGATCCACTCTTTGATTGGATCTGCGACAGGAGAAACAGTGAACAAAGGATTTCCGCATTCGCAGGAAATTTCGCATCTATACCATTGACTTTCTCTTTCGTCCGGAGCTTTGAACAATCGCTCGGAAACAAAGCCAATTGGATAGGGACAATATGGACAGTTGAAATTGTCATTTGACACAATTCTGCCAAAACTGACAATTTTCAATGACTCATCGTTATTTTTGACATTATTTGCCTGTGAAAAAGTTTTTCCTAATTGGTCAATTGCCCACAGACAAATTCCAAGTCTGAATCTCCTCTTTACGAGAAGATTGAAGTCTCCTAATTTATTAGGAATTTCGCTGGCAGATTTCAGTTCACCTTTCACTTCACTTGCTGCAGTATTTTCAAAATTCGGGAGATAACTCTTCTTGATGTGTTCCGCAAATGGAAGATTTTTGTCAACAACCCATCTAAAGAATGAAAAAGTGCCATATTTTCTGGTTACTTCGAAAAGTGAAGTGAAGTGATCTAATGTCCACCAACTAGGGAGACTTGGATGCTTTGGAACTTTGGACATCGCGTCAGATAATGAACAAAACTCTAAATTATACAAAAGTGACATAATTCTAATTGTTTGGATCAAATTTTTGGCGACATGGATATTAATTTTCTGTGAAAAATCTTTGAGGGATTCGTTTTCTGATGGATCGTAATCTTTTCCTTGTTGCATGACTGCTACACATGTTTTAACAATTTGGCATGCAATGTTTTTGATTTTGTCAACATCAGAATTCGTTCCGACTTTTGAAGCAAAATTCTTCCAATCAATTTCGCCGGATTCGCTCAAAGGAAGTCCGATGTCCAAAATTGTGGAGAAGACGCAATCAACGACTTGTTTCACGTTCTTTTGCGGCATTGGCTCGAAAGGATGCCTATGGAGATTCAGCATGATCTTCTTGTCCAATTCTCCAGCGGATTGAGGAATGATGTCGTTTTTGTTCGGTTTAATCTCAGGAATTTCTGGTTCACTTTCTACAACTTTTTCTGATAAAATTTCTGAGAAACTGTTGACAATCAATACCCATCGCTCGGGAGGAATCGGAATATAGTCTAAATAGAAGAATTCGTCACTAGGACTATATGTACTATTGATTTCATTTGTCACGTTTTTGAGAAAAGTGACAAATGTAGATTCATCTTTGACCTGATCAATTTTTTCTTGTGCAACAGACAGTGTTTCAACTATACCATTTGCGTATACTGAATACAATAGACAGTAGACAGTAGCAATTGGGAATCCACAGAAACTTGGAGCTCTCGTGAATTCTGTCAAAACAAAAAGTGCTCTTTGTATTTGATAGAACAATAAAGTTCTTTCAATGATCAAAGAAGCCTGTTGAGAAATGTAGCTGTTGTCAACCAAGAACTTAACATTGTCATCTTCGCCAATTGTCATCTTTTTAACAACATTCTTGAGAAGTTCTTTCTCTTTGTGCTCCAAAGATCTCTTTTGTATTTCTTGCAAAGCGGATCTGATGCATTTTGCAGCATTTGCATGGTTTCTTGGTCCGATATCAATCAAACTTGTTACGAGTTTGATGTTATCTGTTGTGTTTTCGACGGATTTCATGTAGAAGTTGTATTGTTCTGAAATAGAAACTAATCTGTGGCCGACATTCTGATGTTTGCACTTTTTAATTGTTTCTTCAACAGAATGGTTCGTCCAACTGAGATATTCCTTGTTTGAACAGTTCAACAACTTCAAATAAGTCGAAAGAATGAAACAGGATAATACAGATGAGTGCGGTGGAAATGGTCCTTCAGGAGGTGAAGTGAAAACCGCATTTTCATCGTAACAAAGATTTCTGGAATAAAGAGCTTCATCTGGGAAGCATTTTGTGATTAAATGGAAAATAGGGATCTTGGGGCCACTCCTCAAATGGAATGTGTCGTCGTCTAAAAGTATAATTCTATCAAAAACTGAAGTGTCAATTTTTCTGGCACCTTTTTTAGAACTATACAAGAAAACCTTGATGTTTTCGTCTTCGTCGAACTGATCGATAGCGGCATTGAGTTCGTCATCGGTCTGATTGAAAGACATCTTCATGAATCGGATGCCTAAGTTATCGAGCATCTGACCAATTAAGGAAAGGGAGTCTGGGATCTCCGAAAATATGAGGAACTTCTTCTTGTCGGCAAATCTGGAGTGAAGGATCTTGTCAATGAAGACGAATTTGCCAGAAGAATTTATTAATTCTTTTGGCTCGGAGTTTTGGAAGACCAATGATGGGTGGTCTGATATGTATCTGAGAAGAGTAAATATATAACGCTGGGCTGTGGTGTTTTCTGAGGTCGGATTCATTAAAATTTCTTTGCTGTTCGAAATAACGTCAAGAGCAGCTTGAACTTGTGCAGGTGATGGCTCAACTTCGATCATATGATAATCACATTCTTCATCTTTGCTTGAATGCTCGATTAAATAAGGTTTTAAGAAATCATTCAATTTCTTGCAAGTTGTAGCATCAGAAGAGTCAAATTGTGAGAAGAACTTGTGTTTTGAGTCCTTAAAAACGTTCGGATTCGTGAATTGCAAAATATCATAAATATCTGAAACTTTTTCCTTAACAGTATGTGGAATTGTAACGATAATGTACTCACTACTAATCGATTGGACCCATTTCTTTGAGAATTGGTCGAAGTTGACTGCATCAATTAACAAAACTCTGAATTCGATGCCATCGAAGACAGATGGATTATCTCTATATGTTTCGTATGGTGTAATAATTACATCTGCTTGGATTAATGAGTTCTGCGGCTTTCCGTTTGAGTCGACCACATTAAATTCAGTTTCTACCAACGCAGTCAAGGATTTCCTTGCTCCGCTGCACACCACTGAATTAAATCCAGTCCATTCGTCGAACGCATCTTTCCAATCGTTCAAAGCCGTTTTATCTGTTAATGCCAAGATTGGACCATTGAATTTTGTTTGGTCGGTCAAATAGTCGAGGGAAGCAGCCACTTGGTATCTCTGGAGTCTTGGCGAGACATCAGCGTGAATTACGTTTTCGCGTCTGAAATAACCCGAAATTAGGAAATTTATGCAGTTTGTCATCTGATCTGAGAGGTTTAATCCTGTTAATGAGTCATCGCAATGTTTAACAGGGCTAAATTCTTTTTCTGTTGGTCGTTTCCATCTTGACGGAATTTTTCTTTTATTTGTTCCGTCAATATGTTGTTTGTACTGTTTAATGACAAGTTCTGACTTAATAAATGTCTTTGGTTCCCACGTGCATTGCTCGTAATCAAGATCTTTCCACTTGGCAAGATATTCCAATCTGTTGTCATCATTGCTTTCATCAATGATCCTTTCCAGGTTAAACCACATCGGCTCTATTTCGGAATTATCAACAACCAAGAGATTTTGGAAAATAAAACTTCTGGATAATGGTCGTTTTAATCTCGCGGCTTCGAATTCTTTTAGAGCGTTCTTGCCGCCATCGCGTACAAGGACTTCTTCTCTTGTAATTAAATCGCAATGCAGATATGAAACGTCGATGTATTTTATCAAATATTTTGTTGGTTTCGTTTTTGCGGCTTGATAGTTTGTAATTCCGAGTATTTTCTCAATTATGTATTCTTCTGTGACTTGTTTACCTTTCTTGCCGGGCTTACCTTTGATAGGAGCGTTTGAATTTATGGGATTTAAGTTTATTTTGATTAAATAGTCAGGAAAATTCTGCGCTAATATTTCTTTGCGAGTTGGACGTGACTCGAGCCTTGCTGAAGGACGATTATAAACGTACTGATTTGCAAAATTACTACCAGACGATTTTTCGTTATCTTTAACCTCAGCAGTAATGGACATGTTAATTGGTTGCGGGGGTTTTAGATCTGTTTCTGTAACTTCTTGAGTTTTAGCTGCTTCTTGTTTGATTTTCTCTCGTTCAGCAATTTGTCTGAGATTGCTATTGCGTCGAGGACGTCCTCTTTCATGATGTGGTGGCGCCTCAAGTTGAATTGTTGGTGGTGGTGAAGGAGAAGACTCAGATGATTCTTCAACTTCCTGATTTATTTCGTATTTCTGCATCATTGCTTTAATTTCATCGAGATGTTGAGCTTCGAATTCCGATAGTAAAGGTATTTTAATAAAGCAATCTTCATTTTGGTTATATAATAAAGATCTATTCGGTTGTGCAAGGTTTTTGACAATGCTTTCCGCATTTTCTGCTTCAAGATTGTCTTGGATCTTCCGCACGTTGTTTTTCGCAAGCAAATATTGCTCCTGCTCGCGTGCGAAGGCCCACATTTATATTTTTCGAAAGCTTCAGTAAAAAAATTATACAAGATTTTTTTTATCAAAACAGAAAACCTTACTATAATTAATAGGAAAACAAAATTATAAAGGAAAATATTTTTATCGTTATAAGATTTTCAATTTGAATTAAACTGATAAACATCAAAAAAAAACTGATCTGCTCAACCCCTAACACGACCAATTATCAAATAAATACTTTATAGTGAGATTAATATTAACATTCAATCGGGTAAAAAAAGGTACATTCACTATTTTTGACAAAATTTTAAATTTTCATGGGGTTGTAAATCTTATAATAACTAGATGAATAAGGAATGAATCCCAGTATAATGTGCATCATTATATTAAACACTATATGTAAGGCTAATGATTCTATTAACACTTATGAAGATCTATAGTATTTGAGCAGATAAATTTGATAATTTCCAAAACTCTTATATTTCAAAATTAAAGTGTGCAAAAGCATTTAAATGAGAGCAAAAAGAGAATGATGCTACTAAAACTAGGTGTTAAATTCCAATTATTTCGCATCACAAGAACTACCCAGTAAATTCAGCCATCTTTTTTTGCAATTATTCTCTATTACACATATAATATAATGGTTAGGGTTTGGGGAAAAGTTACTAGAGAATTATTGACTTTTGAAATAATGCAGAATTTTACTTGAAGAAATCATTAATTTATGAGTTCCAAATTGCTAACCATGACGAAAGATCATTAAATTTGCTGCAATTAAATATATTTATTGCAGAATTAAGATTATTGAAATTAAAAATTTGAAATATTGCCTTTTTGAATAAAAATTTAAATTTGATTATATAATCATGATAATATATTAGAGAAATTAAAAGAAAATATTTTAAACCATTCAAATATTTTGAATGTCTTATCAATTTAAAATATTAAAAGATTGCTTGATTTTATCATCATTAGTTGTTATCAAAGTTTTCTTCTTTTGATGAACAACAGTAAATGATTTGTTAATACCTTGTCTTCCTTTTACGCAGCAAAATCAAAAGTTATGATGATAATCTTGTACTCAATTTTGAAACTCTCTGATTTACAAGTAAGCATTCCTTTGGAAAAGCAGTCCTATTCTGTTTTCAAGATATTTAAAGCCCCCATTTCATATAATGCGCAGATCTATTCGAAATTGCAAGAACTCTCAAGAAAAATGCTGCAGCAAAGAAGATTCCAAAGTTCCTAGCATCAAAAATTTACAACCTTAATACAACAGTTCAAGAGAAGCTCGATAAGAAAATATTTAACCATAAAGCTGGATACCATTCGATATTTACTATTGGATATAATAAAAAGTTAATTGTAACATATTTTACATGCTATTTGCTGACTCTGTTCCATTAGATTACCATATATCTGTTTGAAATCTAAAAAAATTTTACGATTTTAATCATGTGTTGTTGAAATCATATACCATTCTTAGCTAAAGTATAGTTTATGGGTCTGTCACCATCTAACTATATGAATTTTCAAAAATGTCAAATATGTTCATTTTTTCTGTATATTCAGCCACAATTTCATGTAATTGTACTATTCAACTATTATTTAATAATTTTATCGATTTAAATATATGATGAGATGCTTAGTTCTCCCGGAAATCGATTTTTAATCACAATTTTAACTTTCCAAAAAAATTCGAAAATAAAAATTCCTCTCAATTTTCTAAGTTTTCTAACTCGCCAAATCTCTAGTCAAATTTTTTTTGGCCCGTATAAATATTGTTAGGCACTATATAGGGATTCTATTTATCCTATTTTCATCCCATTTTACTGTTATCGCCTAGTGAATGTACCTTTGGGTAAAATGGTATGATATCGTATGATTTCGGTAAATTCAAGATTCAATTTTGTCAAAATCAATGATTGATCAGCTTCGAAGCTAATTTTTATTTAAACCTATCAAACCATGTAACTATATTTCATGGGTAAATTGGCTATTTCCGAATAAGAAATGATGCCTGATACGATTATTTAGTAAACTTTTTTAAAAAATCGGTTTGACACTAATACCCCGAAATGACTCTTCAGCTTTCTGCGCTCATCCATCAAATCAGGGCAGCACAGTCCATTGATGAGGAGCGTCATGTCATTACAACAGAATTGGCTAATATTCGTACATATATTAGAGAATGTGAACCAGAAATGCGTCCTCGCGTCATAGCCAAGCTTGTTTATTTAAATATGATTGGTGAGACAACATCATGGGGTCAAATGGAAACGCTTAGCCTTATGGCTGATGACCGTTTCTCATTCAAAAGAATTGGATATTTAGGTGCAGGCCTTCTCCTCGATGAAACAGCAGATATTTCAGTTTTACTTACGCATACAATCCAAAAGGACCTTCAGTCAAAGCACAGATTCGTTGTTGCTTTAGCGTTGGCAGTTCTTGCAAATATCGGATCAACAGAACTCTGCAGATCATTAGCTGCTGACGTCCAAAAGGTTCTTGCCATTGATGACCCATTCCTTAGGAAGCGCGCAGCAATGGCTGTTATCAGAATTATCAAGAAACTTCCAGAATTTACAGAAACTTTCCAAACTCATGTTCATCTTCTCTTAAACGACTCACAACACTCCGTCGTACTCTCAGGCATTGGTATGGTTATTACCATGCTCAAAGCCCAGCCAGAACTCGCAAATACATGGTCTAAATTCACTCCGGCCTTTGTTAAGATTCTCAGATCACTTATTGCTTCATCCCGCAGCTCTGATGAAGCTTCTGATCCATTCCTTCAAGTCAAAGTCCTCGAAATTCTCGCATTACTTAAATCTCCATCAGATGACCTCGATGAAGTACTTGCTTCCATTGTTTCTACAGCAGACATGAAGCGCTCCGATGGCCGTGCAGTCCTTCTTCAGGCTGTACAAACAATTGTTGCCGTTGCAAAGAAACCTTCGCTCAGAACTCTCGCTTTCAGCCAGATTGGCAGACTTTTATCATTCAGAGAATCGAACGTTTTATACTCAGCCCTGAACGTCTTCTCCAGGGTTCTCTACGCCAACAGAGATATTCTTGACCGTACATCTGCAGATTCCTTGGCCCTCCAGCGCTACAAAGGACAGATCGTCAGATGCCTCGACAACCCTGATATCTCAATCCGCCGCAGAGCCCTCGACGTCATCTCTGCTCTCATTGATCGAGATAATGTAGAGCGTCTTGTACCAGAAATCCTCAAATACTTGCACTTGGCGGACACTGATTTCAGAATGGAGCTTGTTGGCCGTATCTTCACAGCCATTCAGAGCTTTTCTCCATCCGAACAGTGGATGTTCGACGCAATCATGCAGATTTTGAGAGAATCCGGCGGTTACGTAAAGTCCGATATCATCTCTGCCGTCTGCAAGGTCGTAGGAAGGAGCGAAGTAATGCAGCAATACGCTGTCAAGCAATTACAGGAAGAACTTACAAGAAACTCAACAGTCCAGCCTCTCGTTCAAGTTGCCGCATGGATCCTCGGCGAATTTGGCTCAGAATCAGAGAATTTAACTGCAACATTCAAACAAATTCTTAATCTTCCACAAACAACAAAAGAAACGAAAGCATACATCTTTACAGCTATCGCTAAGATAGCCTCACGTTCACAGGCCGACCAAGCAACAATGGAAGCACTCGCGTTCGGAGTTACAGATAATGATCTCGATTTACAGCAACGCAGCGGCGAATACTTGCAGCTTCTTACTAAAACTACAGTTGCTGACCAAGTTCTTGCTCCTGCTCCGGCATTTGAAGATGATGATGAAGAAGGACCGAAGAAAGCGGACAACAAAGGAGCGGCCGTTCAAGGCGACATCATTGATTGGAATCCTACACCTTCCACGTCCCAGAAAGAAGCTCCACCGCTCATTGATATGTCAGATGCCTCTTCCACGACAAATAACTCCATTGACCTTCTTAAGTCGATGTTTGATGCCACCCCAGCCTCAACAGCACCAGCACAGGCTCCGCAACAGAAGCAACCGCAAATTCCACCAGGCGCAGTTTTGGCATACGATAAAGACGGCGTACAGATCTATTTCGAGATCCAGAGACCAAACGCAAACCAGGTTTCCGTCAGACTTAACGCTTACAACAGGACATCTACACAGATTAAGAGATTCAAGGTAGAATTCGCTTGCACACAGGGATGGATACCGAAATACGAGTTGCCATCAGGAGATACAATGGAGCCAATGAATGAAAGACCTCTCCAGCAGATAATGAGGTGGCAAAACTCGGGACAATACAAATTCGCCCTCAAAATCAGAGTTAGCTATGTATACGGAACTATGCCAATACAGCACGACCATGATGTCACTGTTTTCTGAAAGTAATTATATATTTCTTTTTTTATTTTTATTTTCGCTTTTTTATATATTTTTTTTCTCATTTGATAAAATTTGATGCTTATTTAACTTTACATGTTTTTTTAAGTACCATCAATCAATGACTTAAAGTAAAAACATTTTAAATCTTGATAGCTTTGCTTAGTTCAACCTAGTCTTGCATCAAGATATAATTTATATAGTGGTCTCAAAAATAGATTTCAGAACCTTTTCAAATAATGAGATTGGGACAAAGTTGCAATTCGGCACTTTTTGTAAAAAAATGGGGTCATACTCATAATGAATAGAGACTTATAGCCAAGTCTTGATATCATGCAGGGAGAATATACATTGATAAGCAATTATATTTTATAGTAGTAGTATTCAGAAATTCTTACAATTTACAATACAATTTTCAAAAATGGATAAAGACTTATAGCCAAGTCTTGATATCATGCAGGGAGAATATACATAGATAAGCAATTATATTTTATAGTAGTAGTATTCAGAAATTCTTACAATTTACAATACAATTTTCAAAAATGGATAAAGACCAATAGCCAAGTCTTGATATCATGCAGGGAGACTCTCTACAAATACAAAAATTGATTATCATAAGGAAATACAAATTTATCAATTTTCATGTGAAAATTACATAAATTTGTTCTCCAATAAATAGCAATAATACTTTGAATGTTATATTAAGTAATATAGCTTCAGGTAAATAAGCTTACACTTCAAAAATATACTGTTTATTCATTAATTTTAAAAAAAGTCCAAATTATCTAATCTTGCTTACTCTTCCTTTAAACTTCTTTGTGCCAAATTTAATATTGCCTTCAAAGATGGAATAAGGACATTAGGTTCAATCCTTCGGCTTTCGACAATTTCCAAAATGTGTTGAATTAATTTCAAACATTCATCGTGTTTTGAAGCTCTTTGCTCAACAATCTGATTACCTGCCCTTGTAAGAATTCTTACTGCTCTATCTTCATTCAAAACATTAGCGACTTGAACCTTAATAATCGCATTTGGAATCACAACAGTGATGAGAGTTATGACGATATAAAAAAATATTTTATTATACTCATTCGAAATTAAAAATAATAAAATTTATATATATTAATTTCATTAAATCAAGGTTAAAAATCTCACCGGAAAAATAACCTCAGTGTGATAAATTTATCACCGGAAAAATTTACAATAAGGTTAATACCGAAAATATCGAAAAATAAACATTTAAGGTTAATTTAAGAGTATGCACTTTTGTCACCTACTCTTCAAATAATTTGAGAACTTAATTATAAAAATATTATATGTTCATAGTACATTAATATTTTCAAGAAAAATTTAAAAATAAAAATTCTTTGAAATTTTAGAATCTATATTTATACAATGTCCTTATGCTAATCTACATGTTATTGATAAGCAAATATTGTTTAATAGTTAAATTTGATAAATATCGTTATCTGATGGATTTTGATATATTATTGAGTATATTTTTATGAAATATAATAAATATATCGGTCCACATTAGCTGTAAATAGGATTTGTCTCACACTGATTGAGTAATACCTCTATGATTTGTTAGATAGTGACGATATTAGAATGTATCATTCTTTTCTTGGCACCTGTTTGAAATTTATAAGGTCCACTTTAAGTATTAGCAAATGCCATATAATTGGCTGAATAATACATATTATTTTTTTGAAAATAAATTAAATTTGAAGAACTCGAATTATTCTTTAGAAATAATAAATTTCATGATGAGTATAAATTAAACACAATGTTTAATTTTAATTTTGAAAAATGCCCGTTTAAAATTTTTATTTTTCCCAAGTCATCAGCAAAATGTATTATTAGTTTAAAATCTACTGATAGAACTCAAAAGGTAGAAACTGTAATGCTTGCTGCGCATGCTCCCTGATTTTCCGTTGATTTCTCTCCAAATTATTTCAATAAATTAGCAACAACTTCCTAAAACTCATGGAAGAAGCTGGAAATCATTAAGATGTTACTTTTCAAAGTTGGCTTTAACATGAATTGCTATAGCTCCTTATTAAAAAAAATTCAATTTTCTATATAAAAAATTAGAAGAAGAAATTATTAAAACTAGATTCTCATTACAGAATCATTACATAATACTATCTTGGAATTGGATTTTCTATACCTTAAAAGTAAACCATTCAAATATATCTAAACGTATACTTTTTTTCTGAACATACGTTAAGGAATTGAGAGCCACAAAAATAGGATCGGCGTTTGGTCGGATGTTCAATAGTTTACATCTCCCCCTTAAAAAGCACCCTTTAATTTTTGATGACCCTACAGAATTTATTTCCGTGACCACTATACTAGCCAGAATAAAAATTATATTATCAATACAATATTTGCAAACAGACTTCATTAATGACAATGCTTTAGCAGGAAGGGTTCTAAAATTTAAATTGACTCAAAGATTTTTTTTTGAATTTGGATGATCCAAAAAGAACATCCAAATTAGCAACCCTACAAATACGCATTAAAATTGATACATATGGAAAAATAATAATAAGAAATCATTTTTACGATTAGAAGCAGTGCGAAAAGCTAAATTATTTTTTACCCCCAATAAAAATTATCTTCGAAGATGAAAGAGAAGTGTATTATGAAGGAATATCATTTTTTGCACCATGTGAAATAAGAACTTCGGCTGTTTCTTTACTATCATTGTTTGCTGCGCGATGAAGAGCGGTTCGTCCTAATTCATCTTTTTCATTGATATTTGCACCATGTGAAATAAGAACTTCGGCTATTTCTTTATTATCATAAGTTGCTGCAATATGAAGAGCGGTTTCTCCAAACTCATCTTTTTCATTGATATTTGCACCATGTGAAATAAGAACTTCGATAATTTCTTTATAATTCTTACAGGCTGCAATATGAAGAGCGGTTTCTCCGTTATTATTTTTCTCATTGATATTTGCACCATGTGAAATAAGAAATTCGGTCATTTCTTTAATATCAAAATGTACTGCATTTTGAAGAGCGATATTTCCAAATTCATCTATTTGATTGATATTTGCACCAAGTGAAAGGAAATATTCTAACAGGGATGGAATATTAAAACATATTGAATATACAAAGCATTTGTTAAAATCATTAGTTTGATCGAAATAAACTAATAATGATTCAAGATTATTATAATTTACGCAATCTATTACATCGATTTCTATATTGTATTCATTCATCAAGAATGTAACAAAATCAATGTTGTGTGAAATAATCGCATATTCCATGCATTTTTCATTTGGTTTCTGATATTTCAAACATTCACTCATGATCTCTGGATTTCCTCCTAAAAATGAAAATTGTAAACATGTTTGAGTTATTTCTGAGTTAAATTTCGTTCTTAAAAACTTGAAACAATCAACTGCTCCGTGGTAACAACATAATTCAAGTAATGAATATACTTTGAAAGGTTCTGGATATAAATCGTTATGAAGTCTTCGGTCCTTATCAAATCCTTCTATTTCCGTGAATGAGATGAATCTTTCTAGATCATTATTCATAATTGCGCTGTAAATTGTATTTTCTGTTTGAATATTGAAATACATTTTGGTATCAAAATTTCTGTTTAATTTAATTCCATATTCTTTGTAAAACAGGAAAATAGAAATGTTTGAAAATCTATCGACCTCTTCCACATGGTATTCATCAGATATCATTTTGGAAAGAGTTAAGTATGACTTTGTATAGCGATTATTATAAGGAATGATATTTAAAATATCTTCTATAATATTTGCTGGGAGACGTTTCTTTGAATCAATCAATTCTGTTTTGATCTTTTTGTAAATTGAGTTTAAATCTTCTTCTTTTTCCGTTTTTAGCTGATACAACGCAGTATACAAATCGATGTAGTATTTGTAGTTACTTCGCAATTCATTGAATTTGTTTGGATCAACATCTTGATCGGACATGAAAAAAATTTTATAAAGTACATATTTTTACCATATAAGATAGCACTTAAATTCATTAGAATAAAAAAATCTATGTTATACATGTTGAACGCAATGATCACAAAGATTTCGGATTTCATTTTTGAATTTTGATTAAGTTTATAGATATGAAATGATATAATAACAATAGCAAATCCGAAAGCAATAGGATATTCATCTATACGGTTAGATTTTGACAAACGTTTTTTTTTGTCTGAAATATTAATAAAGTCTTATAAGGATGTCAATTTGGAAGAAAAGTGAGAAAATTCCTAAAATGCTAAAAATGAATTTTCCAAATGTATTTTTTTATCTCATTTTTTTGATTTTGAAAAAAATTTGGAGAGAAGAACTCTTCGTTTTTGAATTTTGTCACGATGGTTTTAAAGTATATTAGACACATGTATTGATATTACTATTTTTGTATATTTTGAGAGAAAATCCCTAAAAAGTGAGAAAATCTGAGACGGTTTGAGAAAATATATAAACTATTGAAAATTTGAATTAAACTTCTAATTTGGAAAAAAGAAATTTGGAAAGAAGAAAATTCAAAAATCGAGATTTAGACTCAGTATCAAATGGAGAACAAAATGTTTCTTCATATGAAGGAAAAAATTTTCTTGAGAAGAAATAGAGTTTTTAAAATTTTATTGTATGTAATGAAATAAACAAATATTAAAATTATTTTTTGATAACAAGAAAATTCCCAACAGAAAATATTTGAGACAAAGAAAAAAAGAAAATTGAAAAATATTACTCTCCTTTACATTTCATGAGATTTTCAATTTATTTTCATAAAATTGACAATTTTATACGTTTAGATGAAAATAAGTGATTTTGCTTGAAATAAAAATTATTGTTTGTTTACAGCTATCAAATAGATTTTTGCTATTTTGATTAAAATTTGTTAATCAAATTAATAATTTTTTTTCTAAATCTCTTAAATATCTGGATCACTCACTGATACGATGAATTAAACGATAAAAATAATACAAACTCAACTAAGTTTCCTGTCTTTCAACCAAAAAATATTATGCAATTTAAATTAAATTGTTTATTCAAAGATAAAACAAAGATAAAGTAATTATAATTATCATATACTTTATGAATAACTCTCTAATTGGATAAGATTTTCGTACAAATATTTTTATTAATATCGATAAGAATATGTTTACCTACTATCACCATATGTCGATAAACGAGAGTAGAGTGATTTTTATCATCGAAACTTTTTAAAAGCTGTAAGCAGGAAGTTATAATCTTGTTTTTTCTGAGTTAGTTGTAGAACTATTGATGCCCGAGTTATCATTGTGATGCAGAAGGATATCAATGTACTGACTGAAGGATATGAATTGAATTGAATTTTATTGAATTTCAATTTGATCAAAATTTGTTGAAATGATATGAATGTGTCAACTTCTGTATCATTCTCCTTCACTCCTTCCTTATTCTTTCGAGAACGAAGCTAGCTCAGCTTTCGCTGAGCGAATTGACACTTTTCATGCCCTAAACGTCCATACTCTCAAATTTATCGAAAAAATTAATACCACCTAAACTAGTATATTCTTATTTTAAATGTGATATTATCCTTATATTCCACACTAAAATTCATTTAAATCAACTTTTAAAAAAGTTCGAATCCTGCGCGTCTCACTTTTTAAATTTTCCAAATGGAAAATTATATTCTCCTAAAGTGAAAACAATTTTCCAAATTGACTTCCTTAAGTCTTATGATCTTTAATGTGAATACATAAAATTACCACGATTCTTTAGTCAAAAAAAAGGTACGGACGCTAGTAGTAGGATATGATGGGTTTTGTGACTTTTCTTGTAAACGTAAGAATTCATACAATATCGAGCGATTTTGTATCATTTTTTTAACATATGAAGTAAAAAATGTATGATTCTGACGGTTTTTATTCTTAAGTTTTTGAATAAATCAAGATTTAAAAAATTTTCAAAATTGTAAGACATTTACACTCAGCCCATACATAATGAAATAAAAAATAAAATATATTTATTTATAAATCATTAAAAAATTAACATTAATTTTAAAATAATTTATTTTTTATTCTGACATAAATGACCCAACAAGTAAAACCAGATAAAATAGATTATCGAATTTTAGAGGATGGTGTTCCTGTTTATATTCAAAGATTTAAAGGGAAGCAATATTATAGAATTGTTAATCCTGAATACATAAAACATTTATTTAAAAAGGAAGACTGTGAATTATTAAACGTTAATGAATATGAAACCAATAAATCAAAATTGAAATATAAATATATTGGAAGTGATGAAAGATGCAAAGATAAAGATAAAGTTTATACAGTTTCATATAATGAATGGAAAACCAATAAGATAAGAAAACATTTAGGAGATTATGGGAAATGTTCTGAATTCTTCAAATCTAGTATGTACGAGAGAGTAAAAGAAATTAGAAATAATTATTTTCATGAATAAAAAATAAACTTTAAAAATTCATGTCTTACATTTTTGTCTTTCATATGTTAAAAAAAATGATACAAAATCGCTCGATATTGTATGAATTCTTACGTTTACAAGAAAAGTCACAAAACCCATCATATCCTACTACTGACGCTCCCTTCTAACCAAAATTTTGGCATTAAACTCCATCTGCAGGCTATACATATTATGCATATGTAGAATACGTAGTTTGGAGAAAATCGGCAAATACAATCTAGAGTTATATAATCTTCCAGAATTATCGAGAAAAATCTCTTAAATGTCACGATAGTACAATCCAGTGCAAGTAGCATATCAGTGCTATATCATAAAACGAATTATATATTAATATAATGCCGTAAATTTGATTCAATTTACAATATTGGTATAAAATTTACACTTTTCCGACGTTTTGTCAGGGGCGCGAAGCGACCCAAAAATGTCGGAAAAGTGTAATTCTCAGACATACGATTATTTTTGCTTTTAATGCCGAAAGGCATTTGAATCAAAAATAATCGTATGTCTGAGAATTGAAGTTTACTTTATCATGTGTCTACTACAATTTTAACATTGCATGTTGAAACTTATAATATGAAAATAAATAGACTAAACATATGTTTAAAACTCTTTTCTTAGACTATGATGGAAAATTTTGGCAGATTTTTTGAAGGCGATTATTTCTCCTTCAATTATTTGTCCGGATAATTAATCAGATTTTAATATGCCTCGCGCAGAAGAACTCCTTACAATAATCCAATCAGATGATGCTACAAAGATTAGCGAACTTGTCAAAAATGCAAATGATGCAAATGAATTTCTGGAATTCGAAGATGAAAATATTCCAGAAATGTTACAAGAACATCCACCAATAATCTCTGCTGCAGCCTTTTATGGAGCTACAAATTGTTTCAACTACCTCTTTAAATTAGGTGCAAAGCTCGATTCCCTTGATGAAAACGAAGTTACAATTCTTCAATTTGCTGTTATGGGAGAATCACCTGATATTCTTGAAACAATTTATAGCAATGGTATTTCTTTCCCTTACATCGGATTCTTTGCTCTTCGCAAAGAAAAATTCGGATCTTTCTTTTGGTTACTTGACCATAAACATGCAAAGATAGACGAAATAGACTTTACAAAGAGCTCATATCTCCATGTCGCTGCTAGTTTAGGCAATGTCGAAATATTTAACAAAATAATTAACTTACATGACTTTGACGCTAATGCTAAGGACTACATGGGCAGAACACCATTACATATAGCCTGTGGTGAAGGCCACAAGGACATCGTTGAACTCTTAATGAAGAATCCTAAAGTAGATCCCTCAATTGAAGACAATTTCAACAGAATAGCTGTTTACTATGCCCATGCTCAGGAGCGCTGGGACATTGTTAACATATTCTTCAACGGAGATATCAACAAATTCCTTGAAAACGGCCAAACCCAGTTAATGGTTGCATCAAGGAAAGGAAATATCAACTTGGTTCGCTTCCTTTTGGAAATGCCAGAGTTAAATATCAACTTACAGAACAGTTACGGATTAGCAGCTCTTCATTTCGCTTCTCGTTTCAATGAGTACGAAATTGTCGAAGAATTATTAAGACACGAAGCAATTAATGTCAATATACAAGATAATTTCGGTAAAACACCTTTACATTATGCAAAAGAAGCAAATTCAGAAGATATTATCACTTTGCTGTTGAAACATCACGCTAATCCTGATATTACTGATAAGGAAGGACATAAACCTTTAGAAGAAATCACAAACACTGATCCAAACACTCCAATTAATCAATCATAAAAATTATTTGTTTCATTGTTTTGTTAATCATCTTTAAAATTTCTTTTTTAATAATAATTTTTTAAATCATTAACTATAAGCAAGAAAATTGAATTTTTTTGACAAGATCAATCTAAATCTTTATTGTTTTAAAAGAATATGAGACTATTTTGTTTATTAACAAGCATCATTATAGTTATTATTTTTCATTGGAAAACTTTATCAGGATCAGAAAGGAATCTACTCAATAATCTGAATTATATTTAGAATGATCTCGCTTATCAGCTTATATCGGTACGTAGCTAAGCTAGGCACCGGCAGAATGCGCTATTATAAACCTTCCAAATTCATATGAATCAAGTCCTCGTTCCGCATTTGAAAATTGTACTGAAATTAAATGTATAACTTACCCCAAAGAGATGAAACAGCAGACTTTCTTTTCTGGTCTTCCGTGGAGAGCTATGCATCATGAAAAGTATTCTGCTTTTGAAGATTTCGTTAAGGAGAAGCATAGAAACTATTCAATTTGGCACCCAGACGTTCTTAGGCCTAAGAAGAAAAAGTGATACCTATTTAGGGTTGTTAAAAATATCAAAAATTAGCGTTTTGAAGACACCATGGTGTCTTATAATTTTCCCTTCCTTATTGGCCTGTAGAAATAAATGCGCCAATAGATTGAAGAAGAAGAATTGTTTTTCTCTTAATGAACTTTAATCCTTTTGATATAAGAATATTAAAAACATTAATATAATTTCGATTTCGGAAATTAAATTTCCAAATTTTTTGTCGATTTCGGAAATAACAGGATCCCGCATCCAACACGCAACAACAAAACACAAAACACACTTTTTGGTTCTTTCATCGTTTTAATCGTAATTTATGTAATACATGATTTGGATAAATTTTACAAAAATAGAGCCTATATTATATTCTTTTCAAAGATTCTTGCAAATCATCAAAAATAATTGTATTTTAAAAAACGATCAAATTATCCTTTCATTATTTTAAACTTAAATTAGTTTTTATGATTGACTAAAGCAATCATATTTATTCATCATTAAATAAACAAAAAAAATAATATTTGAGAGTTATTTCAAAAAAAACACATTGAATTTATTAATTTGTCTCAATTTCAGTATTATAAATTTTTATAATTTCAATATTTTGAAATACACTTTTTAATATTTCAATATTTATGATATTTCAATGTATTAAGTGGTCTCAAATTGAGCTTCTCAAATATAAGTTGGCCTATTCAAATAATAAAATTAAATAATATTTAAAATAATAAATAAAAGTGATTGAGGTCATAGCAAAACGGCTGTTTCAGTCATTAATTCTTAAAAATAAAAAGGGTAAAAACTAAATACAATGGGTAAAATTCAATAGTGTCTGTGCTATCGTTCAATTTGAAGGTGTCTTTTGAAACCGCAAGACACATTGAATTTTTGAATAGTGTATTATGGTTTGACAGACACCAATGAAAAAAATAAAATGATATTTATTTTAAATATATAAGATCCTTATATAAAATATAAATATTTTATCGTTTTATTTTCTTGTTTTAGAAATGTTTTTTATTGAAAAATCAATAAAACTAACTTCAAAATAAAATTTTTGATTTAAAGACACTATGATGACACCAGGCAAATCTTCCAAGACACCTATCGTCGGGAATCTAACAACCCTATACCTATTGATGTTATTGTTTAAAATAAAGGTATATTCAAAAAATATTTTTTTTTTTGAACTTTTATATTTTGTTGTTAATATTAAAGATTAATATAGAGTATGTAAAATTAAACTTTCTACCAGTTATTTTTTCTTCAGTTTCGGCCATTTAACTTTAATTCAAGTTTCTGACATTACAGATGAAGTGTCATTTAAAAATATCTACAAATGTTAACAGCAAACCTTATGTAGTGTATATATCAAGTATTTTTTCCATGAATGAATACAAATCTGTGGCATTGCAAAAAGGAAATTTAGAGTCATAAAACGTGTGCTTTTGGCAATAAAAATGCCTTTGATAATATGAACGTTACAGGATTTTGTGAAGACTTTGGATTGATTGAATCAAAATTGAAGATTTGGTGATGAATGGTGGATTGCGCTTGTGATCCCTACTTTACTATTGACACTACATCATTTTATATCAATAAATTTGATAAAAACACATATTGATAAATAATATCCGAAATCTGAGTTATCATTTTTATTCCCAAGTATAATATAGAGTTTTTACTCTTAATGAATGTTAAAGATATCTAATTTGATAAAATATAATATTAAAAATTTTTAATGTCGAAGCAAGATATTCCTCCAGAAAAATACCTTAAACTGCGAGATCAGTACAAATACTATATTGATTCGTATAACGCATTATATCAGCTGAAAACGGAAAATGAAGAAGACCTAAACAAGATTTACAAAATGATACGAACAGAATTGATCGATTCAAAGAAATTTATACCCCAAAATATTATCAAAGATATTTTAAATATCATTCAGTATAAGAATCGCTATACAAAGTCATATTTATATCTTGCAAAACTCATTTATGATGATTATCATGTCAAAGAGATCATCAATGTTGATACTATTTCAAAGTTCTTATTTTATAAAGAATATGGAATTAGATTAGACAATTCAGATGATTTCGAATGAATTAGATCAGAAAATCTTGATATTCATACAGAAGATACTATATACAGAGCAATTATGTATAATGACTTAGAAAGATTCATTACATTCACAGAAAGAGAAGGATTTGATAAAGATCAAAGACTTAAAAGCGAATTATATACAAATTTTTCCTATTCATTACTTGAATTATGTTGTTATCATGGAGCAGTTGATTGTTTCAAGTTTTTAAGAACAAAATTTAATTCATCAATAACTTATGAATGTTTACAATTTTCATTTTTAGGAGGAAATCCAGAGATCATGAGTGAATGTTTGAAATATAAGGAACCAGTAACTTATTCACACCAAAAAAATGCAATTATCTCACACAACATTGATTTTGTTACATTCTTGATGAATGAATACAATGTAGAGATCGATTTAGAATACTGTGCATATTATAATAATCTTGAAGCATTTTTAGTTTGCTTTGATCGAACTAATGATATTAATCTATGCTTTGTTTATTCATCGATGTTTAATATTCCATCCCTTTGCAAATATTTCCTATCACGTGGTGCTGATATCAATGCAGAAAATAGAGATGAACAAACTGCTCTTCATTGTGCGGCCTTAAAAAAATAGTAAAGAAACAGCCAAATTTCTTATTTCACGTCATATAAATATTAATAAAAAAGATGATGATGGACACACCGCTCTTCATGCTGCAGCACATAATAATAGTAAAAAACAGCTGAACTTCTTATTTCACATGGTATAAATGTCAATGAAAAAGATTATGATGGAAAAACCGCTCTTCATGCTGCAGCATATGATAATAGTAAAAAAACAGCTGAACTTCTTATTTCACATGGTATAAATATCAATGAAAAAGATTATGATGGAAAAACCGCTCTTCATGCTGCAGCATATGATAATAGTAAAAAAACAGCTGAACTTCTTATTTCACATGGTGCAAAATCAACGAAAAAGATGATGATGGACAAACAGCACTTCATGGTGCAGCAGTTCGTCGTTGTAAAGAAACAGCTGAACTTCTTATTTCACATGGTATAAATGTCAATGAAAAAGATTATGATGGAAAAACAGCACTTCATTATGCAGTATTTTATAATGTTAAAGAAACAGCTGAACTTCTTATTTCACATGGTGCAAATATAAATGAAAAAGATTATGATGGAAAAACCGCTCTTCATGCTGCAGCACATAATAATAGTAAAAAACAGCTGAACTTCTTATTTCACATGGTATAAATGTCAATGAAAAAGATTATGATGGAAAAACAGCACTTCATTATGCAGTATTTTATAATGTTAAAGAAACAGCTGAACTTCTTATTTCACATGGTATAAATATCAATGAAAAAGATTATGATGGAAAAACCGCTCTTCATGCTGCAGCATATGATAATAGTAAAAAAACAGCTGAACTTCTTATTTCACATGGTGCAAAATCAACGAAAAAGATGATGATGGACAAACAGCACTTCATGGTGCAGCAGTTCGTCGTTGTAAAGAAACAGCCAAATTTCTTATTTCACGTCATATAAATATTAATAAAAAAGATTATGATGGAAAAACAGCACTTCATTATGCAGTATTTTATAATGTTAAAGAAACAGCTGAACTTCTTATTTCACATGGTGCAAATATCAATGAAAAAGATTATGATGGAAAAACCGCTCTTCATGCTGCAGCACATAATAATAGTAAAAAACAGCTGAACTTCTTATTTCACATGGTATAAATGTCAATGAAAAAGATTATGATGGAAAAACCGCTCTTCATGCTGCAGCATATGATAATAGTAAAAAAACAGCCGAACTTCTTATTTCACATGGTATAAATATCAATGAAAAAGATTATGATGGAAAAACCGCTCTTCATGCTGCAGCATATGATAATAGTAAAAAAACAGCCGAACTTCTTATTTCACATGGTATAAATGTCAATGAAAAAGATTATGATGGAAAAACAGCACTTCATTATGCAGTATTTTATAATGTTAAAGAAACAGCTGAACTTCTTATTTCACATGGTGCAAATATAAATGAAAAAGATTATGATGGAAAAACCGCTCTTCATGCTGCAGCACATAATAATAGTAAAAAACAGCTGAACTTCTTATTTCACATGGTATAAATGTCAATGAAAAAGATTATGATGGAAAAACCGCTCTTCATGCTGCAGCATATGATAATAGTAAAAAAACAGCTGAACTTCTTATTTCACATGGTATAAATGTCAATGAAAAAGATTATGATGGAAAAACCGCTCTTCATGCTGCAGCATATGATAATAGTAAAAAAACAGCCGAACTTCTTATTTCACATGGTATAAATGTCAATGAAAAAGATTATGATGGAAAAACCGCTCTTCATGCTGCAGCATATGATAATAGTAAAAAAACAGCTGAACTTCTTATTTCACATGGTGCAAAATCAACGAAAAAGATTATGATGGAAAAACCGCTCTTCATGCTGCAGCATATGATAATAGTAAAAAAACAGCCGAACTTCTTATTTCACATGGTATAAATGTCAATGAAAAAGATTATGATGGAAAAACCGCTCTTCATGCTGCAGCATATGATAATAGTAAAAAAACAGCCGAACTTCTTATTTCACATGGTATAAATATCAATGAAAAAGATTATGATGGAAAAACCGCTCTTCATGCTGCAGCATATGATAATAGTAAAAAAACAGCTGAACTTCTTATTTCACATGGTATAAATGTCAATGAAAAAGATTATGATGGAAAAACCGCTCTTCATGCTGCAGCATATGATAATAGTAAAAAAACAGCTGAACTTCTTATTTCACATGGTGCAAAATCAACGAAAAAGATTATGATGGAAAAACCGCTCTTCATGCTGCAGCATATGATAATAGTAAAAAAACAGCCGAACTTCTTATTTCACATGGTATAAATGTCAATGAAAAAGATTATGATGGAAAAACCGCTCTTCATGCTGCAGCATATGATAATAGTAAAAAAACAGCTGAACTTCTTATTTCACATGGTGCAAAATCAACGAAAAAGATTATGATGGAAAAACCGCTCTTCATGCTGCAGCATATGATAATAGTAAAAAAACAGCCGAACTTCTTATTTCACATGGTATAAATGTCAATGAAAAAGATTATGATGGAAAAACCGCTCTTCATGCTGCAGCATATGATAATAGTAAAAAAACAGCCGAACTTCTTATTTCACATGGTATAAATATCAATGAAAAAGATTATGATGGAAAAACCGCTCTTCATGCTGCAGCATATGATAATAGTAAAAAACAGCCGAACTTCTTATTTCACATGGTATAAATGTCAATGAAAAAGATTATGATGGAAAAACCGCTCTTCATGCTGCAGCATATGATAATAGTAAAAAAACAGCTGAACTTCTTATTTCACATGGTGCAAAATCAACGAAAAAGATTATGATGGAAAAACCGCTCTTCATGCTGCAGCATATGATAATAGTAAAAAAACAGCCGAACTTCTTATTTCACATGGTATAAATGTCAATGAAAAAGATTATGATGGAAAAACCGCTCTTCATGCTGCAGCATATGATAATAGTAAAAAAACAGCCGAACTTCTTATTTCACATGGTATAAATATCAATGAAAAAGATTATGATGGAAAAACCGCTCTTCATGCTGCAGCATATGATAATAGTAAAAAAACAGCCGAACTTCTTATTTCACATGGTATAAATGTCAATGAAAAAGATTATGATGGAAAAACCGCTCTTCATGCTGCAGCATATGATAATAGTAAAAAAACAGCTGAACTTCTTATTTCACATGGTGCAAACATCAACGAAAAAGATGATGATGGACAAACAGCACTTCATGGTGCAGCAGTTCGTCGTTGTAAAGAAACAGCCAAATTTCTTATTTCACGTCATATAAATATTAATAAAAAAAATAAATTTCAACAAACCGCTCTTCATTATGCATCAAAAAATGGTTATAAAGAAATCACCGAACTTCTTATTTCACATGGTGCTAATATCAATGAAAAAGATGATTATGGAAAAACCGCTGCTGATTATGCAGCTGATAACACATAAAAGAAACGTAAGTAGATCTCGACAAAATGTTTTTAAATAATTTCTGTATAATCAATTTGACTGATTTAACGGCTTTTATAAATAAATAAACTAGGATTCTTTTTCATTTATTTTTACAGAATAAAAATTCAGAATACAATTTGTAGTGATATTGGGTAAAAATAATTAAGTGGATATCAAATTGTTTCGAAAGATCCCAGGAGAAAAAAAATATCTCATTTTGTCAAAAAAGAGAATTTTTGAAAATTATATCATCGGCTGTTATAATATCATCATGATATCCTAATTTTATTTTAAAAATGTCTGAAGAGGTTGCCTCTGTTTGTGAGGCCATCATCGAAACTCAGACAGATGAAAATCTTGCAAAGTTTTCTGATCTAACAGATGCATTACCAACTAAAATGTTGGACATGAGTGGTAGTTTTACAGAAAAATTGCTTTTTCTGAAAGACAACAAATTTTTTGCGGGATTACTCTCTGCATTCAAACTTCCACTCAGTATAGAGCAACAGTTACGCATATTAAAGCTATGGGATATATTCTTTCAGACTGCATCCGCTAAAGAAGATTATGATATTTTATTTTCGGACAATCTAACAAACGAAGTTATATTATATGCATTTGAGTACAACTCAGAAGATGTCAGACAATCATACGCAACAGTTTTGAAAGGAATCTCTCTAAAATTCAAAGATTTTGATCACAATTTACTGATTTATAATAGGCAAATTCCAATTTTAGCACACTCATTACCTTTCATTAATAACCAAGATTCAATTACTGTATCAGCAATGCGTTTTGTTATTTTAAATATTTGTTTAATAACAAATGAAACGATACGAGAAGCGATTTGTGATAAAGTATCATATGCACCCATCGAAAACCTCATTAGTGATATCGACGCCGATGGATTTGCATTCCTAGCTGACTTTTTCGCAGTTGCTCCAACGAGTTTAAAGAATTTCACATACAATACACTACGTAAAAAGATTGATACGTCACCTCCAGCATTTTTCGCATCAGCACTTTCGTTTTTAACGAGTTCTCCTGCAAAATCTCTTTTAATGGATATAATCGGCAATAAAATTAATACGTGGGACCTCAGAGATCCAGCTATATTAGGTATATTACTATTTGCACTCGAAAAGAAGCTGATTAAGCTTGATATCGCCATAAGAGTTGGATTTATTTCGGCAACTGTTCCTTTGTTCGACCAATCGTCTCAGAATTACTCTCAAAAGTTCGACCTACCAAAGGAATTGGCCTCAGTTATGCTAGAATTGATAAGTCCGCTTCATGTTGCAATAATTTTAAGAATTCTGGCTATTTTATACGATCATATCTATAGTTCAGTCATCGATGCCAAAAAGAAGATTATTGAGATGCTTAAAAGCGAAGAAAATCAAGAAGTAATTAAATCAATAATTTATCAACCGAATCCTTTAAGAATTAGAACAGATTTAGAGTTTACTTCTAAGGCATATACAAATCCTTCTAAATATGACTCATTAATGCGGATGCTGGCTGAGATTCAGAATTATTGTGCGAAATTCCATCAAAGTAGCTTCTCCTGGTTCGAAATAACGACTCCAAATGAGACACAAGAAGTGATATTTAATCTACAAAACGAAGGACAGCGAATTGTCGCTGATGGAAACGTTTTGAGATTTAATGAGACAGAAATGCCACTAAAGAGTTGCATTGTTAGTCTAGAAACAAAGAAGTATGTTACTATTAAGGTAGTTCAGTACGATACTACTAAAAAGTTTAGAATTCCACAAGAATCGAATTATTCTTTCGATTTTGAGTCAGGAAATGTCGCCCAGGCTTTTATTGACTATGTTAGTTCCATGCAGAAGAAATTTGTTGATACAATGTTGGATAATTTAACTTCTTACGAATAAAGATTTTTTTTATTTAGATTGTGTTTTGAAAATATAATTCACTTTTTTTAAATGGTGCACTTACAACTTTCTGTCATGTCAGAAAGTTGTAAGTGGTATGACTGTAAGTGCAACCTTAAAATAAAAATAACCATTATAAGGTCGTCAAAATTTTTTTAAGGTTGCACTTACCACTTTCTGACATTCTCTCAATTTTTTTGCCACACATGCTTTCCAACCCGATATTCTAAGGTCAAAAGTTAATATTTTTGGTCAGGAGAAAGTAAATATGAATCAATATATAGTACCTAATATGACTGTTATACTTTTCTGCTATTAAAATAAAGATATATTGATTTTTTCATAGCATGTCAGAAAGTGGTAAGTGCACCCTTTAAAAAAATGTTTGAGATGAAAATTGATTACTTTCTGACACAAAAATCCACAGTGTCAAAAAACTTATAAGGCCAACAAAATTATAATGTCAGAGAGTTTACAAATGAATACTTTCTAACAAGCAGAGTCTCAGAGAGTACTCAAATGGCAGTTTTTAATTTCCTTATTCTTATTCCAATAGATATATTTAAATAGGTATAAAATTACAATATAAATAAATTGTTTAGAAGTTAGTCATTCTGATAGCGCGTTCAAGAAGAATTGAAAGGGATGTAAACTGTTCTTTCTGCCATTCAACAAATGTGATATCGACTTGGATTTTGTCGCATTGTTGTGAGCAGATCTCTTCAATGCGACTGTCGTTGTCTTGTTTTTCTTCGTTCTCATCAGTGGTGTTATTAAGAACTATGTCATATGATGTCTGTCTGATATCAACCAATGTTTGTTTGAACGAATTCAATGAGTCAATAGCTTTGTTCAAAACTTTGAAAACAATTTCTTTGAATTCTCGAAATGATGACAAAACATTCACAGCGAGATTGTTGTATCTTTCGAGTGTAACATTCTCAAGTGCTAATATCTGACGAGCTTTGATCATCTCTGACTGATCAACCTGTTTTCTTGTTCCGAAAACTTCATCTTTTCGTGTTGAAAATCGAGACATTTCACTATCGATTTTGCTGATGCAACTTGGATCGAAATATTTCATGTCAGAGTGCATCAATGAGTTCGATATCTCAAGGAGTGAATACCACTTGCTCTCGTCCTCACCGAAAAGCTCTTCAATGTGATGTTTTTCGTTCAAAGAAAGTGCTTCAAATTGGTATGAAACTAATTTTCTTCTTGTTCGGACAAATTTTTCGCCATGTGACTGCATCTCTTTAATGAGATGAGCAAACGACGTGATAATGCCGTTCTGCATGTTAAGTACAGGTGTTATAAGCTGTTTATCGAAGTCAACGTTCAAATATTTTTCAGAGAAAAATTTAATTTTCTCATTTATCTCTGAAAATGTTGTTGAACAGTTATTTGTGATTTTTTCCATCATCTCTGCATCGGACTTATCGAAATTATCATCTAACGGTGGACAAATCCACTGATCGTAACAAATTTTAAAATCTGAGGTAAGTTCACTAGGATCGAAGCCTTTTCCTGTGGCTCCACTAGCGAGTAAGCATTTAAATATGTCAATGGAATTCGTTTTAACTGATTCTTGTAAAAGATAAGTTTCGCCGTTATTTAAGTTTGGATTTGCTCCGTATTCGATAAGCAAGTAAACTAATGGTATGAATTGATGTTGTATTGCAACTTGAAGTGGTGATAATTCGTATTTAGATGAAGATGTTGGAGATCCGGCTTCTAAAATAGCTTTTGCGATAGTAACGTTATTATTTTGTACTGCGCACAGAAGAGGAGTGCACCCATAATCATCTGGGATTGATGTATCTGCATTATGCTTTAACAAACAAGTAACATAATAATTCATGTTTAATTTTACTGCGTAAACTAGTGGAGTCTGATTATCTTCGTTTAATTCGTTAACATCTAAATCTATTTGTACTAAGTAATCAAAAATTTCCTTATTTTCTTTTCGCATTGCGCAATGTAATAATCCTTTTGTCGAACAACCTGCATTAATGAGTATTTTAAGCGATTCTATATTTCCTCTTTCAATGCAATGAATAGAAAGTGGTTTATAAAGAAAAAAAGAATATCATTTTAAAAAAATGAACGTTATGAATAATAAAACAGAACTACTGGCTCATCTATGCCGCTTGCTCTAGTCAAAAAATCATGAATTGCACTCGGGGATAAGTCAACTTCACTCATTCCCGAGATGCGTTATAAAATTTTATGCAAAAAGGCACATTATCATGGTATAATATTTATAAAAAGCGTTATATTTTAAAATTTCTCTGATAACAATATGCAAATAATCAAATAAAGGAATTCATATCTTTAATTAATCAATAAAATGATTTAAAAACTGAATAGTTATATATGATTTTTATTTTTAATGACTAGAAAGCAATAGAAACTAGAATATATCATGAGATAAAATTTGATAAAAATAAAATCTTGTTTTTAAAGAGACTTTCTAGTGTCAAAGTCATCAAATTTAATGAGAAAATCTAAAAACTTAACAAATGATTGAATTCATAGTTAATAAATTTGATTCTCTAAATGTAACTAAATTAACGCAGTGATCCGATTTTTTTTTAAATTTCGAGAGAAGGATATGTATAAAATGGGCGATCTTATACTTTTGACTATATAAATGTTAATCCAAGATTATTGGAACTTTAGCTTTTGCACATATAGATCATTATGTAACAGTTTAAAATGCCCGGTTGTGTTATTGTATGCCATACTATAGCCAAGGAAACAAATTCATTAGGTGAGGAAAGACTCCAATAGAAACTCGTTCGGGGTGGGCGAAAAAAAAAAAAACTTTAGTCCCAAAAAAAGTTGAATAAGAATAAGCAGCCTCTGTAAATAACAAGAAACAAGCGATCCAATAATACTATAAATCGTAGATCATCTCAATTTATAGAATATGGAGAAAAAATATTAATTTTTCTCTTTCAGAATTTAACATAAAGAACTCAGTATGTGAAAAAAAACACGTGAAAAAGTAAATTAATATTTTTTTATGATCAAATATTCCGAAAAACAACAAATCATTCCTTAGGGAGTTTTGTGAAGTCAAACGAGAATTCTTCAATCATCTGCATTATGGAAACAGAGTACATGTGTGTTTCAATGGCCTTATTTGGTATTGGCAAGTTCATGAGAGACAATCTTTCAGCGGAATGTTCAAGAAAAGTCGTTTTTGTATGGTTTCCTGTGTAACTCATTGTCTTAACATCCATGTTGCAGTCAGTTGCATCGATCATGTCGAGAATGAATCTCAGAATCTTTGGGAAAAGTGGTTTCATGTAAATGTCGTTAAGTTTCGAAAGTTCCAGCTCTGCCTCTTTGGAAGCTGACCATCCTGACATGTAGAAGAGAGAAAGAAGTGATGCACCAAGTAAAATTGCCAGTTTAACGAAGGCACCGGCAGATTTGACTAATTCTGCAATAACAAAACGAAGAAGGAACAAGTTTGGAATAATATTGATATTAGCACGCTCATTGACGTAGTGGCCAGCTGTTCTGATGAAGAAAGTTCGAAGAATAAATCTCATTTCCGGTGGCATCTTCGGAATTGAAGAGAAAACGATATTAGCAGCTGGTAAAAATATATTCTTGGCATAATTCTCGGCATCTTCTGGCGTATTTATCTTTCCGCTTTGAATTGCTTGGCCATGCTCTTTAAGTAAGGCGTTGAAGCTCGTAATCATGTCCTTGACGTACTCTGAGGCAAAGGCTTTGAGGAGGCAAGTCGATGTGAATGAAAGAGGTTTGTTTGTACGTAAAACTGTATCACCAATAATTAATTCAATCCAATTCAGCTCGATTACGGTTCTCCAGAACGGATATATTCTGTCTCCAACGAGAGTGAGTAGGAGAGGTGCGAGACTCTCGTTGTAATCCTTGATTTCGGTTGATGGAAGTAAAAACGTATAAATAAGGAGTTCGCAACCATTGTTATTGATGATAAGGTCTAATCCCTTGGTGTATTCTTCGGGTTCTTGTATCGAATCTGATTTGAAAAATTCTTTGATGGATTTCATGCCAGCAACGGATTGTAAGAATGTTAAAATGATGTTGAAGCCAATAGGAGGTTGTTCCATTATAAGACCAGCTGTTATTGAAGCGGTTTGTGTAGATGGGAATTTTATGTTGATATTTGCATCAAAACTATCTTTGAATAGCTCGAGAGTATCGCTATTTCTGACTACAGCGTAATCTTCAAAATTAATTGTGTCGATTACCTCTTTAGATTCAGCATTTGTGATTATCATCTTTGAATCTAAAGTAAACTTGATAAAAGCTTGCGTTTCTTGACCTCCCATGACTGTGAAAAGGCAAGGGCAGATATAATAAGCGTCTAATTTAAATGTAGTGTTGTTAAAGAAACGAGATTCGGTTGGGATCAGTAATTTCGAGAATTCTGTCGAAAGGAGGGTACAGAATTTAGGATAGAGTTTTTTCTGAATTGAATTAATAAGTTGATTATAAATGTAAATAATGGATGAAAAAATAAGATGAGTTTCTGGTGAAAAGTGTTGCTTAAACCTATTTTCTGAGATATCAGGCTTGAGTACGAATTGCTCGAGTTCATCGAATTTGAATACTTTACCAAAATATGAAAAGAAAATGAGGCTTTGATCTAATGGTGTTTTTGATTTAAGATTAGGTGGAATAACAGCAACTTCCTTTTGTGCAGTTTGCAATGATGCCACAAAAACATCGGGGTTAGCAGTGAAAGCAGCTTCAATTGTTTTCATAAAACTTGGAAACTGAATTTGGTCCGCATTTTCACCAAAAATCTTGGCCCATTCGACATTAACACGATCCCAGTCAAGTGGCTTGCGCTCTTGTGGAACTCTACTATATTTGTCATACATGATTTTTGAATTAAGGGTGCACCCGTATGTACGTTTATTTGAGAGGAGGAGGATTACCCTCTCAATTTTGAGGGATTCGTTAGTTTATTTTCTCGATGAATATGCAATAAAATTTGATTTTTACCTTATCAATATACTTCATATAATATACACATGTTCATGTAAAAACTTTTTTCCAAAATCCTCAGGAATTAAGGGATTTTTGAATTTTAAGAATTTTTTTCGAATTTTTTCGAAAAAAAAATATTTTCAGAACAGCCTTAACGGCTAAGATTTAGGAACAATGTTCAGTATCAAAAAGAAAGGAGGTCTGATATAGACAACATATATCGTTGAAGGTTGAAAAAATCTCTAATATTTGAGCCCAAAATTTCAAATTTTAATTTTTTGAAAAAAGAGGCCACCCGTATGTACGTTTATTTGAGAGGAGGAGGATTATATTTTTGAAAGGGTGAAACATTATGAATATGTTAATTATATAATAATATGTATTATTATAAAAAAAAAAAATAAAGCACGTTAAAATTTTTCTTTCTTGATTTTTTACAAAATCTACTTAGAATTATGCAAAATATGACTAAATAATTATAAATTTCAAGTTAAATTTTAATTTTGATAAATAATTTAAATTTCAAAATATCAAGTTCAGTTCGACTATGTATGTAGTAATTCCTCAATAAAGTGCCAAAACCCTATTAAAAGATATGAACATTTTCAACATTTTAATGTTTTTATTTAAAAATTTGATGGAATATGAGCTTCAAACAATTATTATGTAAATAAAAATAATTAAATATATGTATTTATTCGTATTACAACCGTAGTAAGTCGATTCTTCCTTTCTTCTACTGAGGTTTGAATTTGATTTCGAATTGTAAAGAGATTCAAAGGGAAAATACTAGCGGATAAAAACTACCTCAATGAAAGGGTCATAATGGAGTCAACTTGTATTTTTTGATATTTTTTGCTTTTCGAGCCTAAATAGGTAGCCAAGATAATGCCTAAAAATAAGGTTCTAAATTCTGAAGTTTACATGATCCTCTCGTGTGCACCCTTAAGGGTACAAGAAATGGGGGAGGTTTTTTGTAGGGTTGTTAAAAATATCAAAAATTAGCGTTTTGAAGACACCATGGTGTCTTATAATTTTCCCTTCCTTATTGGCGTGTAGAAATAAATGCGCCAATAGATTGAAGAAGAAGAATTGTTTTTCTCTTAATGAACTTTAATCCTTTTGATATAAGAATATTAAAAACATTAATATAATTTCGATTTCGGAAATTAAATTTCCAAATTTTTTGTCGATTTCGGAAATAACAGGATCCCGCATCCAACACGCAACAACAAAACACAAAACACACTTTTTGGTTCTTTCATCGTTTTAATCGTAATTTATGTAATACATGATTTGGATAAATTTTACAAAAATAGAGCCTATATTATATTCTTTTCAAAGATTCTTGCAAATCATCAAAAATAATTGTATTTTAAAAAACGATCAAATTATCCTTTCATTATTTTAAACTTAAATTAGTTTTTATGATTGACTAAAGCAATCATATTTATTCATCATTAAATAAACAAAAAAATAATATTTGAGAGTTATTTCAAAAAAAAACACATTGAATTTATTAATTTGTCTCAATTTCAGTATTATAAATTTTTATAATTTCAATATTTTGAAATACACTTTTTAATATTTCAATATTTATGATATTTCAATGTATTAAGTGGTCTCAAATTGAGCTTCGCAAATATAAGTTGGCCTATTCAAATAATAAAATTAAATAATATTTAAAATAATAAATAAAAGTGATTGAGGTCATAGCAAAACGGCTGTTTCAGTCATTAATTCTTAAAAATAAAAAGGGTAAAAACTAAATACAATGGGTAAAATTCAATAGTGTCTGTGCTATCGTTCAATTTGAAGGTGTCTTTTGAAACCGCAAGACACATTGAATTTTTGAATAGTGTATTATGGTTTGACAGACACCAATGAAAAAAATAAAATGCTATTTATTTTAAATATATAAGATCCTTATATAAAATATAAATATTTTATCGTTTTATTTTCTTGTTTTAGAAATGTTTTTTATTGAAAAATCAATAAAACTAACTTCAAAATAAAATTTTTGATTTAAAGACACTATGATGACACCAGGCAAATCTTCCAAGACACCTATCGTCGGGAATCTAACAACCCTAGTTTTTTGTGATATGGAAAAATGTTCGTTGCTCAATTATCTCACTATTGGATGGACTTTTATCGAGCGAAATTTTGGCTGTAAAGACAATTCTGATATTGGTAACATGGTGATAAGAACAAATAGTCAGTTTGCATGGTTTATGATGAGATAATTTCGATTTAAAAAAAAACATAAAAATTGATTTTAATGAGCGATTATATTTGAATATGCTCTCCTAATTTGAAGGAACTGGTTAAATCATGAATTGATCATGAATAATTTTTTTTCAAAATAACAATTATAATTTCATATTCATTATAAGTTGAAAATGTAATAAACAGAAATTCATCAAAAGTGACAGCTCTCAATTTTTTGACATTTGTAAATTCTAAATTGAATGAGAAAAATGAAATAATACTAAGCATAATACAATATTCTAGATTTAATTATAATTAGGAAAAAGTTAGTTTTGAGAGTACTTTTCATAGGCATATAGAATGAAATCTTCTGAAAAATAATATCACATAAACTCATATTATTTTCTAATATATAACTATTTTATATAAAAATCAAATTCAATGATCTTAAAAGCGAAGGATAAACCTCAAAATTTACGAATATAATGAGTGGGAATATAATGCTTATCTATCATAAAACCATATGAAATATTAATTTTTGCTTTACGCCTAATTTTTGACGACAATTAGCAAAAAATGTGCCAACGTCACTTTTTTGATTGAATTTCATATCATTTTACTTAATTACCCCTCATATTGCATAGATAGGTAATCAAGAATATTCAATGCAATTTTAAGGAATATCGTGCAGATCCAAAATATTCAAATTTCATTTTCTACAGTTCATATGGTAGTCAGTACTTTTCACCATATTACATCTTATATGCTTATCATGTAGGTAGATATGGACATAATTAATAATGGAAATTGCTGATATTCACTGAAATCAAATTAATATTTTCTGTTAAAATCCAAATTTATATATTATTGCTATACAAACTTTTTATTGGACTGAATTTATGAAATGCAGAAATAACAAAAACTGAAAAAGACATTTCCAGTCTCAAAATATGAAATTTACTGTTAATTCTTAGGCAAATATGCACAATATAAGTGTTGGTCATTTATAAAATGATTAGATAATAATATTGTTATATTCATTTCATAGAGATCTAGTATGATTGGTGATGAGGATAAGCAATGAGAATATGTTTTTGAAATGAAAAGATTATATTACTAATTTGACTAAAAATTTACTAGGGTAGTTGAATAGACATGTGGTGAACAAAATATGTGATGATTTGAGATTGAATTATAATCGACAAAGGGAGATCAATATAATTTCCTCATGGATATCCTACAAATAGCTTTATGATAGCTTGAGTGTTTACAAATTTGCCTCATTAAGCCATTTTTTAATATTGTTTCCTGAAGGTATTAACTTACTACTTGAAAATTCAGGCCAATTTTGCTCCAAGCATTTTAACAGCATCGATGATTCAAAGGGTTGCATATTAAACAGCAATATCTTAGTGGTCGGTGCTGGTGGTTTAGGCTGTGAAGTATTAAAGTGCCTTTCTATGACAGGGTTTCGACATATCGAAGTAATAGATCTAGACACAATTGATATAAGTAACCTAAACAGACAATTTTTGTTTAGAGAAAAAGATGTTGGGAAATTTAAGTCGGATGTAGCAGCAGAATTTATAAGAAAAAGAGTAAATAACTGTAATATTATATCCCATCATTGTAAAATCCAAGATTTTGGTCAAGAATTTTATTATCGATTTGATGCAGTTGTTGGCTGTCTTGATAATGTCGAAGCAAGGTTTTGGATTAATGATATGCTTGTTCATATAGCCAAATCTTTTGGAAAAATTATTCCATATTTTGATGGAGGCTCAGAGAGATGGATGGGTCATATTAAAGTTATCATCCCAACAGTTACTGCTTGTTTATCGTGTCATCCAGAGTTTTTTGTTGAGCTCAGTGAATTTCAACTTTGTACTACAGCAAACAATCCAAGGCAACCAGAGCATTGTATTGCATATGTGAAAGAAAAGTTATGGCCAGAATCATTTCCGAATTTAAAATTTAATCCAGATGATGAAGAAAATATTAAATGGATTTACGAGAAGTCTCAAGAAATGGCTCAAAAAAACAATATAGCAGGAGTTACTTATAAGCTTGTAAAAGGAGTTGTAAAGAATATCGTTCCTGCAATTGCATCAACTCAAGCATTTGTTGCTTCGCTATGCGTAACAGAAGTATTGAAATATCTTACAGGAAATGGATATAATTTAAGGAATATTCTCATAAGTGGTGAAGAAGGTATTTATGGGGAAGATTTGGAGTATGCAAAGATGCCTGAGTGTCACGCCTGCGGATCAATTGTAATAGATATACATCTCAATGATAATGAAACTGTTTCTGAGTTTATTCAAAGATTAGAAAAAGAATATAATCTTAAAAATGCAAGGCTTGTCATTAATACTGATAATGATAGAATTATTCCTATATACTCTCCAAAAATATATAAGGAGTCTCAAGGAAATCTTAGCAAACCGATGAAAAATTTTGTTGAATCTGGTTCTGAAATTATTGGTATCACTCCAGATAATTTAGACTCAACATATATTATCCGTATAATATAGATTTTTTGTTTTAAATAAATATTTAAGTTATCTATAACACTAGGAGCAAAAGAATACTTAGAGCGTGCAGTTTTAACATATAAGATACTCTCAAGTTTCGCACATATCACTATCTCAACTCTTTTCACTAGAATATTTCAAGAGTTTCTACAAAATGATTACAAAGTATGATTTATTCGATGTACTTTTGTTTGCATTCGTTTAAGAAGACAAAATGATATCTGTTTTGATTCATAGACTTGATCAGATAATTGATCGCAATTCGAGAAACAGAATGATTCCTTTTAGACGAGAATATGTGTACATCATTAGGATTAGTCTTGTATGCGTATTTTGAGTATTAAATAAAACTTTATTATGTTGAATTTTATAACTTATAAAATCATTTTGTATTTATAAAAAAAAAATAAGTTAGATAGTTATATTAATAACAATACAAACAACTAATATAGTTTACATAAAGAAAAACAAATTAAGATTCAATAATTTTAGAAATCTCTTCTGCAATTTCAATAGCACGTAGAACATCTTCGTCATCTTGATGATACGACATGATGTTATCAAGAGCGTTGCTAAATTCTTCACTCTGCATGCAGATTTCGAATTTTGCAAAAAGCGGATGTTTTCCGATTTGGCTTTGCTGTGCATAATCGAGGAACATCTCTAATATTGGTATAATTGTTGGGTCGAATTCTAGCTGAAGAAGCTCAACCATATTAAATAAAAATTCATTTTCTTCTCTTCCGAGGAAATTAATCATTTCATCTCTATTTTTATATTTAATCAGTTCAAGAAACAGTTTTGTGGAATAAACTCTGCAATTAAATGAGTCGCTCATATGGGAAATGATATCTGTCGAAATTGGTTCATTTGTTTGGCAAATTGCACCTATTTCCGATGACTGTGCAAGGTTACATAACAAAATAAAGTTATATTCGATTGATTTTGTGTTTTCATGGCAAAAAATCGCATGAATTAAGGAAATTAAATTGGATTCAATAAAAAATTGAACAGTTGATTCATTAATTGAATTGGAAATAAGCAAAATTGAAGCTTCGAGTGTGGGAAAATTAAAAGAAATAGTGTTTTCTATTAAAAACTCGATAATTCCAGAATTTATAACATCATCAATAACTTCTGGAAGAACTGATCGATAATATTTCAATGTAGGGGCTGTATATTTACTGTAGTTAAGCGCATGGTCCTTTGTGATGCTGAAAATTTGATGAGAGAACTCAATTCCAATTGGTGGCTTTTCTTGGGTCTGTGTGAGCTCAGATATCATTGTAATTAAACGTAATGAAGAGTTGTATGTGTATACATCATCATTTTTGGTCAAAACTGTAATTAATTCTTCAAATAAATTATTTTCTGAAAATGTAGAGATAAAATTCGGATATTTCTTAAGGAAATCACATAGTTTTGCTATTATTTCATCCTCTGAAGCGTGATTAATGATGATTTGGAATAGTTCAGGCTTTAAAAAATTTTGTGATTCTGGAAAGAAAATAAAGAGATTTAACAGAAGTAAAACAGACTGCTGAGCGACTAATCTATTAGAATTTGTTGATAAATATATTAGTCTATGATATAAATCTGAATCTGGTTCAGGAATTGTTGAAACTCCTGAGACAAATAGCAGTGATGCCTTTGACAATTGAGATAAAATTAGATCCTCATCATCGCTCATGATTCCATCTTGTATTTCGCTCAAGATATTTGATGAGCCAATATCTAATACATCATTAAATTGATTTAAATATGAATTAAGGTTGGCATTGCATGTTGTCTTTGATTCGGATTTTAACAAATTGTTTCGACGAGGCTGGATATCATCAGAGTTAAAAAGTTGGAAAGATTTCATTTAAATTTATAGTCTTGGTAAATGTAAAGTGTAAAAATGACACTCGATCAAAATCACATTTTTGAATTCATGAGTTTCATATAGGGAAGAAATGTTTTCCCAAAAAATAATCGTCTTTTTCCCTAAAATCATTCCGATCATGACGATAGACTATATGAAATTTGAATCACGAAAATCTAAATTATTTTTTACTTCAAATAAAATTCATCATCGAAGATTAAAGAGAAGTATATTATGTATGAATAAGGGTTTCGTTTTGCGAAAAAAACGTACAATACGCAATTTCGCTAAAAAAACATTTAGCTAGCAATTTCGACATTTGACTCCACTCAAGACGTCACTTTTTAAATTTTGCGGTATCATATTTTTGGAAAATCTTTATGAATATTATATAAAAAGTCTCTTTAATATCTATATTTCATATTTTTATCGATTTTTAAAGTTTTTGCGAAAAGTATTCAATTATTTTTGCTATTTGGTCGGGTAAATGTCAGATTTGCGACATTTTCTGATATGATATTCAGATTCTACGTTGATAATAATGCTTATAGAACCCTCTTGCTATTGTGTCAAAATTGCGAAACCGATAGCAAAAATATCTCGCAATATCAAAATTGAGATATTGAGTGAATTATGCATTATAGAGATTAAAAATCTGATTTGTGAAAACATCTCATCGGTTTCTAGCTAATTCAAAAATCTTTACTATCTTATTCGATTAAAATGAAAAGGGAATAGTTTCATTATGCTTTAAATGACAGCCTTATAATATAATCATAGTTTTCGCTCAATATGCAGCATTTTTTTTTTCGAAATCTATGGTCAATATCCTAAATACTGATTGCTTTGCATTCATATCTCTTACATTTTCTATACCCACATCACTATTCATTGCTATTCCTATCTTTTTCATTTTTGTTTGTTTCTCATAATTTCTCAAAAAACATGATAACTTGATATTTGTAAATATCATACTTTATAACGTAAATAAGAACTTGACCTATTAAGAAAAGCAGTAATGAAAAGAAAATCTGAAATTCATAAAAATTACAAGTTTCTGATGACAATTAGCTTAGTTAAACCAGGTACAAGATTATATAATTGTATTTTCTATCCAATTATCCATATAATATCTTATCCAGAAAAAATAACTTGATCAATACCAAATGATTTTTTAACTAGTAAATAAAGTATTTTCTTTACACACACATTGTATATCATAGTTTTTTTTTGGTTTCGCAAAACATCCAAAAACAAATATGCTATAAAAGTGACAATTTTAGCAAAACGAAACCCTTAGTATGAATATTATTTTTCTGCACCATATGAAATAAGAACTTCGGCAGTTTCTTTACTATTATTAATTGTTGCAATATGAAGTGGGGTGTCTCCATCTTCATCTTTTTCATTGATATTTGCGCCATTTGAAATAAGAACTTCGGCTGTTACTTTACTGTTATTAATTGCTGCACTATGAAGTGCAGTTTCTCCGAAAGCAATAAGATACTTATGCCTAAAACCGCAAAAAATTTTGATTGAGTTTACAAACATGATAACGAGAATAAATCCGAAAGCAATATGATACTCATCAATATGCAATGACATTATAACGATAGTAAATCCGAAAGCAATAAGATACTCATCCATATGCCTAAAACCAAAAAATTGTTCGATGGAGAGCATTACAAAATAAACTATAATTTACTGAAAGAGTAGTTCTGGAACTAACTTCCCATATAATGAGTAGAATTAGGTGTAACCATAATTTAAATGATATTGTTATTTCTTAGTATATTGAATAAATTAATATGATTGAATTTAAAAAAAAATAGAAATCAAAATTTTATTTCTTTAGCTTAAGTATCAAGCTATTCCATCTTGTTAATGATATATATGCCAAGATTGTCGTAAATACAAGTCCGATACTTATTAACAGTCTACCTGACATCACAGTTGGTAATAATACGTATTTAATGTCTGGGCTTGCCCATCTCGCTTCGGCCATCGCTTCATATTCGCTATTATTCCTTGCAATGTAAAAATCATCGTCTTTGTTGACTTCAAATGCAAGTGAATATGCTGGAAAACTACGAATAAGCGATTTCTCGCAGTATTTCTGGCGAGAACAGAATGCATCCTGTCCGTATGCTTCAGTGCAGTTGGAATCTACGGTGCATTTGTTAGATTCATCAAATTCTGTTCTAATTACGTCCTTTAGCATATTAACTACGATCATATGCTTGAAAGATGTTGAGTATCCATTGTAAACACCACTATAAAGGGATACATGGTCAGTTGCAAGCGATGCATTAGGGAATAACTCATGGAAGTAGTCGGAACTGTTTGGAGCATCAACAAATCCTTGCATTATTCCTTCTACAAGTGTTTTGTTGGCTTCAATTCCTTCGGCGATGGACTTGTCCTGGAAACATAAAAATGCTAAAGATCTTGCAACAGTTGTTGCTGCCTTTGTAACATAATCGACGTCATATTTGTCATCAGATGGTGTTCCAATGACCTTGTTGACGTATGTTTTGTCGTGGCCGGCGAAAACAACGTGTTCGATATTTGGAATCTGTTTAACAAAGGAGGAAGTTGTTGATGGTGGGACACCTGGTGTTGATGAATCAGCAGATGTTATTTTTAGAGGGTTATTGAAGCTATTTTGGAGATTTTGGACAAAAATTTTTTCGTTGTCACTTTTTTGAGTATGAGCGAAAATTTTTCCTTCATCTTCGAAGAGACCAACGGACTTAACTTCTAGCACTGTTGAGAAATCATCATAAGATATGTTCTGGAAGAAGAAATCATAACGTTTTGGTCTGACGCAGTATGATTTTCCTTCAGAATATTCTTCACATGTGAAATTCTTTATTTCGTAAAGGAATCTTGATGATCCGAGATTGCCAATTTCTTCTGCATCAAAGAAACCGAAGTGGAGTGGACGTTTTGCTGATTTCCAGTCGAGATTTTTAAGAGATTCTAAAGCTGCAAGAGAAGCAACGAATCCTGAGATGGAATAGTCAGCACCGACCTGTCCATATGGAGCAATGCCAAACGCATCCATCTGAGAAACAAGCCAAACTGCTTTTCCGCCAATTTGATTGTTAAATCCACCAATAAGCGAAAGTCCACCAACTGGTTGGCATTGAGCATTGTAATCATATGTATGGCTGAGGCAGTATTTGAGGTTGCCACGAGATAACATGCTAAAATCAATGTAAAAACCGGATTTTTGCTTGTCGGCCTTGATTTTTTCGAGAAGTTGCTGCATAACTTTATTTGGTGGATAAAATAGAACAAAACTATACTTGTCATATTGCTCTCCATTTCCATAAGGATTCCATATATAATCGTCTGAATAAGGTGATTGCGCTTTATTTGGAAATGCTGAAGCTGTTGATGATTCTGATGTATTTGATGAATAAACCATTACTCCGTGCAAAAATTTTATTGGATCATATTGTTTTTCTATCTTTGTAAGGTTTCCTTTATTTACGAGAAAATCTGGAATAACAAGGACTTCTGGGAATGATCTTTTTGTTGAAAGTAAATCGTCTAATTCTTGTTCGTTTGTTATAAGTCGAGAATAACCTGATTCGCCGCCAGATTTAGTAGCAGGACCGAACCATCCTGCTGGATTATGAATTCTAAAGTTAAAATCTGTTGGGATTTGTATTGCTGCACACAAGAAAAACATTTTTTTATCAAATAATTTTTTTCTCTCTCTCTTTCCCCCTTTCAAAATTCATTGAAAATTACCTTAGCAAGTTTTTGAGGATTCCTTTTAGACTAAATCAAAAGTACATAAGAGCATTTTATTGCACGCAAGTTCAGGTCTGGAATTTCAAAAAAATTAAATATTGAGATTTTCAAAAACATTGATTCATTGGTTTTGGATCGCAGTTTTCGAAAATAGGTTAAGAAGTATCCCCGAAAATATGTAACTGTAGCCTTGAATTGATAAAAAAGCAGCAGGATTGATTAGCAAAAATAAAATGATTGTTTAGGGAAAATTATAAACGTTACATTGATTATTCACATTACAAATAGTACTCTTCTCTATTCATCTAGACAAATCTCATTAGGGTTTTTCTCATTTGCAAATCTTAATCTCTGAAGAATTGGCAATGTTGCATTTATTGGGAGATAATTTATATGCATGAGGATATGCAAAAAAAGAAGAAGAGCTTAATAAAAATTTGAATCTTTGCAAATTGCCTAATATTAAGAACGAAAATCCTACTGAATTACTGTGAATAAAACCTCAATACTTTTTGTGTTAGAATTAGAAAAATATTAAAATGAATGTCATTGAGTATCAACATCAACAAATTCAAGAAACTCACAGAAGTCTGGCTTCTGATTTGGATCAATGACATCATTAATTTCGCAAATGTTGTCAGTCATATTTCGAGAATCCTCATTAATTTTCTTTTCTTTTATGTTAAAGGAACTAGCATTGGCAGTAAAACTTCCAGATGGCTGAATCAAGCCCCATCTAATGAATAGTTTAATCTTGTTTCTGATTGCATAGCATGAAATGAAAGGAAAGTGAGGTCGAAGCAATTTGACACTATTTTTACCCTGATTATATAAGGTTATTAATTCATCCTCTTGTTCCTTAGTGAAATTTGTTGTTCTGCCCTTCTTATATTCACGGATAATTTCTTTAACTCTTCTGTTTGTAATAGAATGAATTTGCGCAATTCTTGAATAAGATAAATTATTATTAAAAAGATCTATAATTGATTGTTTTTCAGCACTAGATAGATGTCTACTAATATTCATATCTCTTGTATATTGATCTTGTTCACTCTCCATCGAAAAAATGAACCTTTTTTCTCATCGGTATTCAAATGTTAAAAATTTATTCCACTGACAATTTTTTATTTTCGTAGCTTGTAATATAGTAGTATTGTATATTCTATGAAAAAGTAATATAATTCATTGAAATTTTCTAGAATTATGCCTTCTCAATTTGAGTCGTTTTAGAGAATATTGTGTATCAATTGTGCTAATCCAGAATCTAAAATATTTGTGGCACAAACTTTTTCCCCTCAATTGAAATTTTTTTTTAGTCGAAATTGCACCGAAAATGTCCAAATTTTTTGCTATTTCTCTTGGCTAAATAAGAAAATTTATCCCTATACTATTAACATTAATATAAAATTGAACCTTTAATGGCATAAACAAGCATCTCCATCATAAAAATCGAAATATATTTCCGACTGTCAGTGATTTTGAATGGGTATTTTAACTTTGAGTGGCCACATTGAATTTTTGAGGTCGATATTTTTGGCCTATTTTAAAATATTTAGAATGACCATTCAGCTAGAGCGCTTATAGAAGCATCAGATAATGGGTGGCCGGATAGCCAAAAACGTGACAAGGCTGTCCAAAATAATATTTTTAAAGATAAATCTAAAATTTCTTTTATATAAATAGTGGTAAGTTAGAATATTAAGTTTGAGTGAGATTTTTGAAAAATTTCCTAAAAGTGATTTTGAGAAGCCAAAATTATAATAAATATTAATAAAATATAATTTAAAGGCTAAATCAAAATAAAAAATAGCAAGTAACTTTCATGGGTTAAAAGTAGTAGGATATGACGGGTTTTGTGACTTTTTTTGTAAACGTAAGAATTCATACAATATTGAACGATTTTGTAAGTAATTTTCATACAATCGATAAAATAAATGTATGAATTCTTACGCTTTTTATTCTTACGTTTTGAAATAAATCATGATTTAAAAATTTTCAGAATCGTAAGAAATTTTCACAAACCCTTTACATAATGAAGTAAAAAATAAAAAAATTTAAAAAATAAACTTTGAAAATTCATGTCTTACATTTTTTTGAATAATTTATTTTTTTATTTAATGATAAATGAGCGTCACAACTAACAACGTTAAGAAATTGGGATTCACAAATGAGGAAATAAAGGATATATTAGAGGAGGCGGGTTATGAAGTTAATAAATATTATTTAAGAAATTGTCAAAAATTTGCCGAGTTATTAAATGATTTAGATTATGATGGAAAAATGAATAAAGATGATGTTATAAATTTTTTATATCCTACATCTGAAGAAGAAAAACCTAAAGAACCTGATGTTTTCCCTGAATATTATGAAGAACGGATTAAAGATGATGAATATGATGAAATTGAAAGACTGGAAAAAATAAGAGATGAAATAGATGAAAAAATTAAGGAATTAAGAGAAGTTGAAAAATATAATGAGAATGAAGTAGATGAAAAAATTAAGGAATTAAGAGAAGTTGAAAAATATAATGAGAATGAAGTAGAGGGTTTAATGAATATCCCAGCTTCAGAATCAGAAGTACAGAAATCTCATGAAGAAAGATATAAAAATTACTTTTTGGAATCTACTAAAAATTTATTAGATGGTGATATTGACGAAACACTTTCAGAAGAAGGTACTAAATTTATTCGTAAACATAAGCTTCAGTTTATTGACGATGGAGATTATCCATGTATATTACTTTCACCTCCTCTTGATTCTGAAAAATTCAAAAAAGCATTGAAAAATGTAACATATGCAACAAATACGATTAAGAAAGAAGACCATGATATTTACACAAATTATTATTTAAATAAATGCACGGGTGTTGATAAAGTTTTTGAATTATTAGATAAAATATCAAAAGAAACAATTGGTACATATAAAATTTTATGCGATTGTGGTTTCATTATTGAAGATACCAATAATGTTTTATATGAAAGAACAGCACCGAAAAGACGAAGTGGAAAGGTCTATACCATTCGTTATTAAGAACATAAAAGATATGAAAACTTATAAACATTATATTTATTCATTTATTTCAGAAAAAATGGAAGCAACCCATAAAACATCATCTCATCATTTTATAGCTATTCATACATTCCTTTTCAAAGTTGTGAAATTAAATAAGACAGGAATTAGATTTAATGTATCAGGGTACGCATTCTTGAGTAAATTAAAATGTATTCGTCACGTCGCAGATGATAAAAATTTATGTGTTCTTAATTCATTTTATGGACTTTAGCCCTGGACTCTCTGAGTCTCGGACTTTAAAAAAAATAAACTTTATTTTTATTTATTTTTTAATTTTTATTCTTACATAAATGAACAAAAATGGAACAGCTAAAATGAATGATAATCAAATAAGAGCAGAAGGTAGAAGGTTATTTAAACGCTTCTATAACATTCCTGATGGTGTTAATCCTAAAACTCGTAGAAGCTATTTAAATGAAGCAATAGATGCATATGAAGGGTTTGACATTTCATCAGAAAGTGAGAGGTTAGCAAGAATGTTAAACGTTAATATTGATTTTTATTATTGTGACCCTCAACCAGAAGACGTAGACATTAACAAGGTAGACTTTCCATTAGTGGAATCAATAATGATAGATCCAGAATTTGAAACAGTAAATATTTTATTAACACAGAGTCCATGTGGAAAACTTCACGCTGACAGAATAACAGACGTTGAAGCACTCACAGGATATAAAGTTTGCCCCTTTTGCAAAGAAGAAGTTTATTCTATCCGTGATGACCCAGAAAGGAAAAACCAAAGAAGATTTTTAAAGCATTGTGAGAAATGTAAAGAAAATAATGGAAGATTAATTCAAGACGTTCAATTGCAAAAGACACAGCAACCATATGCACCACATATCACGAAACAGAAGATATATCAATGGCTATTAGCTCACAATTTGCAGGAATATTATAAACCAACAAGATATTATATTACTTTTGACTTTGAAACATTAGAGACTAAAGAAGAACTTCAACTTTCTGAATGTGCAACTTTGAACGCTTACTTAAAACCATTCATGGTATCATCAATGGTTAAATTAAAGCCGCAAAGCGGCGAGGTCGTAGACCGTGATAAAACATTTACGAGGAATTTTTGCTTAACTTCAAGTGATTCTTTTATTTCTGATTGGATTGAATTTTTATTTTCAACCTGTTCATTAGTTGCTAAATCAAATATTGAACAATATGAAGAATTAATGAAGTTGCAAACATTAAATGAGAAACAAAAGGAAGCATTTAAAGAACTTCTAGATGAGGAATTCAATAAAGTGAATATCATAGGTTTTAATTCGGGAAAGTTTGATTTAAATTTAATTCTTCGTGATTTAAACACTGCAAAATGGAAAATAAAATCAATGCTGGGTTCATCTTCTCAATTTAAGCAAATCATTGTAAAGAAAACAAACGTTCCATATGAATTGAGATTTATTGACATCAGAAATTATATAGCGGGTGGGACATTAGACCAATTCACTCAAGATTTCGGAAACAATAAATCACGTGTTAAATCCTTTTTCCCTTATCAATTCATCACATGGGAAAATTACGAAGAAGAATTATATAAAGAGGAACCATTCACTCAAGATTCATTTTATTCAGCATTAACTCAAGAAACTATATCAGATAGTGATTATCAAATATATCTCAATGATGCTAAAAATTTTAAGAATAGATTAGAATATTTTATTCATTATTGCAATAAAGATGTTGAAATTATGATTGACCCAATTGATAAAATTATTGAAGAAACATTTGTTTATAAAATTGACATGCTTCATAATCTTTCTTTATCATCGAATGCATCAATGATTCGTTACGCTTTAGCATATAAAGACTTTAATCCTAACGAAAAATATCCAGAAGAAGAAAATGTGGAATCAAGTTTTGAATTAACGAAAAAGTATTGGAAATATAAAATTGAATCATATAAGAAACAAGATGAAAAAGCAGAAAGAGATACTAAAAATAATGTTTCAATGGATGACTATCAATACTATCACGATTTAATCCTTTCATCTAAATGCAAAATGTGTGGTAAAGCGTTTACATATGCAAATAAACCAACATTGGATAGAATCGATAATGAAAAACCACATACCAAAGAAAATTGTCAGTTAATGTGTTGTTATTGCAATGTCGTAAAATCAAATAAAGATGAAGATGTTCAACGTTTAAGAATCAATTTAAGAAATTATGCATTAAAAAATAATTTACCAATGACTTTAGATTCAGTTGAAGCTTATCACATTCTCCGTAATGGAATTACTGGTGGTCTATCAAATGTTCAACATCGTGTTAATCTTAAAGGAATCACGCACATTAATAAACTTGCATATAATCCAGAAACTAAAACTGTATCAAATGAGGACACCACCAACATTATGACTCATTTCGTTGGAGTTGACTTTAATTCATTATATCCTTCATCATTTTCATCTAATCCTCATGATTTCATTCAATATACTAACCATAAAATGTATATGCCGGGAAGATTGAATGGTGTTATCATTTGTGATACAGCAACAAAGAAAGCAAAAGCACTGGGAATTATTAGAAAGAAAAATACTTTATTCGTGGCTGAAGTAAAGGGTCACATTGATGAAAAATACATTAATGATTACATAAACTTTTTACCGATAATAAGAAACTTAGATATTATCACAGATGAAAAAACAATTGGCAGTTTTATGTATAATTACATGAAATCAAACAATCTACCAGTTGACCAGAAACAGAGAAAATTAACTCAGTTAGCATCAACACACAACCAATATCAACCATTTTCTTCTTATTATCTTTGGTATCTAATAGACAGATTTCATTTTATCATTGATGACATTCAATCAATTTTAACATTTACTAAAAACACTTGTTTTAATGAATTTGCGAACGAATTTATGAACGAAAGACAAAAGGCGGAATTAGAAGGAAATAAAGGAAAAAGTTTATTTTGCAAGATTTCACTTAATGGATCATATGGTTACGATGCAATGAATACACAAAATTACGCAAAGACTAAAATAATGAATGCACAGAAGGCACGCGTTGCATGTATGTCAAATAAGTTTAAAAACATAAGAGAAATAGGTGAAGATACGTATCAAGTGATGCTTAAAGATAGATTTTATAGATGTGATACATGTTTACAAGAGGCATTCTTCACTTTAGATAATGCTAAATACTGGTATTTGGTTTTCATTTATGATTTTATGTATAAATGCATGGATGTTAATCGTTTTCATTTCATTGAAGGTGATACTGATTCATCTTATTGGGCAATCGCTGGCGATCCAAGTCTTCCTAACACTCAAGCATTTCAAGCAATTGTTACTGATAAACAATTTTATGATAAAAACATTTACAAATTCGCACCTTTTGATTTCTTCTGTTTTGATGAGAAATTTAAACCTAAATTAAAGAATAAAGCTGAAGAAAAAGCACATGAGAAGAAGTTATTGGGTTTAGCAATTGAGAAACAAGGTGATAACATGGTTGCTTTATGCCCTAAGTGTTATACTTCATTCAACGGTTCAATTGATGGAAGTGATTTTAAAAAGATTGCACAAAAAATGAAAGGTGTTAGTTTAAGACAAAATAAGCAATTAACACCTAAAAATTATTTGGATATAATAAATGATAAAGTGATATTTGATGGTCAGAATATTAATTTACAACTTAAAAACGGGTCAATGACTCGCTTAACAATTGGTAAGACTGCATTAACAGGAGCACACACTAAGGCTGTATGTTGTGAAAATGGATGTTGTATGCCATTTATTTAATGAAATGCCACAGAAGAGACAAAAGGAACCGTTAATAATGGTTTTGTACTATGATTCAAAGAGGTGGGCACCCTTAAAACATTTATTTTATTTTTATATAAATGGATAACACAGATTTAAAAATAAATGAAACAAAGGAGGAAGAAATAAATGAAAGTGAAAATGTTCAACAAAAAATAAACGTTGTTAAACCAATTACTGAAATAAAAATTTTTTAAAAATAATGTTAATTTTTCGTAAGACATGAATTTTCAAAGTTTATTTTTTAAATTTTTTTATTTTTTACTTCATTATGTAAAGGGTTTGTGAAAATTTCTTACGATTCTGAAAATTTTTAAATCATGATTTATTTCAAAACGTAAGAATAAAAAGCGTAAGAATTCATACATTTATTTTATCGATTGTATGAAAATTACTTACAAAATCGTTCAATATTGTATGAATTCTTACGTTTACAAAAAAAGTCACAAAACCCGTATATCCTACTACTGTTAAAAATCGAAAATCTCATTCTGGATTTTTATATAATATTTATATTCCTGTAGTTAAATGAAATAAATTTATCCATATCATTTGAGGAGAATTGCATGAATTAGAAAATTGGCGGGGTTTAGCGATCTTAAATTCTCTTTTATAGCAATATTTGAATAGGTTATAGCTCAGCTGGATAACATCCCGACCAAGTTCGATTCTAGTTTTTGTTATTATTTTTTTCCCTTTTTCCTTCCTAAGCGAAATTTTAAAGTACAAAGTTGTTAAATCAATACCCACACTTATGTAAAAAAAAAAAAAAGGTAGTGGGGCTTCCAGGCACTTCGTGCCTTCTAGCCCTGATGATGTTTAGTAATAAATGAAGTTTTTATTCGGAAAAATTGTTAGTCTTCTGGGTCGAAAACATTATATATAATGTGTCGCTTTTCACAAATTATATATGTTTTCATGTTTTGTCAAACATGAACGTACATGTTTTGTCAAGACTTCTTCGTAAATGTTTTGTCAAGACTTCTTCGTAAATGTTTTGTCAAGACTTCTTCGTAAATGTTTTGTCAAACATGAACGTACATGTTTTGTCAAGACTTCTTCATCGTAATGAGTGTAAAGGACCCAAAAATAAAGTTTAGGTGAAGAGGTGAGATCTCACCTGTTTTCTCACCTCTTTTCTCACCTCTTGAATTTTCATGATTTCTTCGTCATAGGCACGGAGATAGGACGGTTATTTTACAAAACTGACAACACTTTGACCGAGTAGTTTTTTGTGCTGAACAAAAAGTGTCATATAAACATCTGTCAAAAACCGTTTTTTACTTCACTTAAAATGCCACGTAAGCTACGTAAGAATATACGTAAGAGGAAGAGAGCATTGAAACATCCAATAGTAAAACTGACACCACAACAACAGTTGCAACAACAAATGATGAATGACCCCACTATGTTGCAACAAATGTCAAGCAACCCTATGCTTTTAAACCGAGTTATTGGTGCACAAAGTGGAGGTTTAAGAGCGGCACTTTTAGCGAAAATGGCAGGCTATGGTGGAGCTGCAGACGGAACAGCTTATAACCCTCAAAGTCAAATGAATTTGAGTTCACTCAAAAATCAAATAACAGATGTCAAAAAGTCAAACATAGACATACAAAACAAATAAGTGAAAACGAAAAGAAACTAGAATATGACAGACACACAAAGAAACTCAATGAGTTAAACGTAGAGAAAAAGAAGAAAGAAGAACAACTGAAAGAACTAAGTACAGAGGAATATGCGAAAAAAGTGTTCAGAAAAAAGCAGCAGAAGTAGCAAAAAATGGAACAAGATGTTATAAATTTGAAAAACCATACTACTCAATAAAGTACTGAAAGATGAAGAAAAAAACAAAAAGCCCTGAAGACATATATGGATAGCGATGAGTATAAAAAAGAAGTTGAAGCAAATGTAAAGGCAGAAAAACTTTTACAGTTGCAAAACCAAACCGTACAGTATGAAAACTTAGCACAAGAAAGTAAAAATAACGACGCAGCCATGCAAAAGGCAATGAAAAGCGCAGAATATATAAAAGCTAATAATGACTGGTTAGATGCCCAAGCCAACGCTAAAGCAGCCCAACTTATAGGGTCAATAAGGACAAAAATACAAGCGGATGAAGACAGTTCAAATGAAGCTTTAATGAATGCTGACTTTAAGAACGCCTTCGAAGCTCTTCATAGTAAGGTGAAACTAGTGAACGACTTCTCATCTGGAAAGAAACTGAAGTCTGAAGGTTTCGACAACGAGTTAAGAGAAGTAGCACAAAATATGACGAAAATAACAGATGCAGCAACGAGACAGGCAGTTCAAAGTGCCTATGACGCCGTTAGAGCAACTGTTGTGGAAAGTCAAGAAAAAGAGTTACAACAGACCAAAACAGACCTAGTAAATGCTTTCTTAAAAACGAAAAGTCAGGTAGGACATTATGCTGCAGATGGAACATATGTGCCAGCTGGTGGAACTTATATACCACCAAACCCTCCAAGAGAAGCACCTGCACCAGGACTACCTAAAACATTTACATCGTCACATGGACACAGACACAGGCATGCACCAAAACAACAACCAACAGTTCAAAATCCAGCACAACAACCAACAGTTCAAAACCCTGCACAGCAACCAACAGTTCAAAACCCTGCACAACAACCAACAGTTCAAAACCCTGCACCACAACCAACAGTTCAAAACACTGCACAGCAACAACCACAAACAGAGCAAGGACATAAAAGAAGTAGAGAACAAGGAAACCAAGAATTCTTAAAAATGCTTAAGGAAGACTATGGTTACCCAGATACTCTTGACTTTAGTGACAGATATAAAGAAGCTATTAGAAAGTTCAAGGAAGGAAATACTGACCCGAACCTATTTAGCTTTATGGTTCAGCACCAAATGGGATATAATTTCAAACCTGGAAAATACAAGCTCGCTAAGGGATATGATTTAATAGCATATCATCCAAATGACATGGATGAATTTACTCCAAGATATTTGGTGTCAGAGATAAATGATAATTCAACTATCTTCATGAAACGCGTAAAAAATAGAGACGGAACGAAAGAAGAAAGGGTTATGAATGCGGATGGCTTAAATAGGGAACTTGTTAAAAACGGTCTCGGAATATATGAAATGCCACCAGATGAGGTACAAGAAACTCCACAGGAAGAAGTTCAGATACAACCAGACATGGAAGAAATAGTTCAGCAACAACAGCTAGAAGAGCCTGAAGGAAACGAACAAGTCCCTCCTTTGGAAACTAACTTCACAGAACTAGATGAAGATTTGGAACAGCCGAAAAATCTTGACCCTCAACAAGAGTATGCGGAGAATATGGAATCTTTCCAAGAGTCTAAGAAAAATTCGGCTGACATAGTAGAAGAATATCGAAAAATGTTCGCCGACATACAAAAGACTCCAACATCAGATGAAAATATCCAGCATAGAATGGAAGAACTGAAAGAAAGTGTACGCAAATACAACAATCCTTTTTACTTACGAGCATATAACGTTCAATCTTTGGATGAACTCGGTGAAAATAAAAGGTTAAATTTCAACAAAACATATAGAAATGAAACATTGTTTAAAGTTCATTCAGAACCTAGCCAATATGGAAACAAACCTACTTTTGTTTCTGCAGACGATGGAACTACAATGAGATGGGGTCATAAAGCTAATCCGGATAGGTGTGTTCATAAACTTACAACCTCAATTCCAAGAAGTTGTAGACGCAATGGAAGTGAATGGTGAACCAGATATAGCTGGTATTTTCAGCGCGGCTTTAATGCCATTGAAAGATATGAAAGATGCAGATATTTTGAACCAGTATGAAATGAACATGGCTGATGGAAATATAACACCTGACGTTCTAGAACATTTATCTCAAAGAACTACACAGAACCATAGAGATGGTATATTTGGTGAAGAGTTTAGAAAGAAAGTTAGGGAGAGAGAAGGAAGAGAACCTATTGTACATGACCTTGCAAACGAAAGTTTACAAAATGTCATAAAAACTTACTTTGCAGACAATGAACCGAGAAGGATGAATATTTAAGAAAACTCAAATGGACAGTACCAAATGAAATGTTAGTATTGAAAAACATGTTCCTTGACAAAATAAAACCAACTACAGAAATAAATGACGCAAGACTGAAACATTGGGTAAAAGCTTTCCCATTCACAAAAGATATTATTGGTAACATGGAAAGAAAACCAGAATGGCTACAAAAACATATATTTGGAAACGAGCTTATTCCATATGGACAAGCTCTGTTTGAAGAGCTTGAACCGGAAACTCAGGAAAGAGTCATGCAAACAATACGCGAAGACTCAAATACAAACTATGACAAAATCTTTCTAGGATATAGGTTACCTGAGATGGGCGACCAGAGCCCAAAGGCAAAAAGGACACGTGAAATTTACAACATACTAGGTGAACATGAGGCAAAGATGCAACAACTTGAAGCAGAGGGCAAGTTACCAAAAGCGACACCAAAGAAGAAGAGTAGAACAAAGTGAAAGTAGTGAAGAAGTTACTTCATCTAGTGAAAGTAGTGCAATGAAGGAAAAGAAGAGTTAAAAACTCAGTCAGAAGAAAGTAAAGCTTGGTACGAGTGGGTTCTATTATGATATATAAATCCAACTATTCTATATTTTTTACCCATATGAAATGTACGCCGCTCAGAATATAACGCCAACAGTTTTGGATGCCATGAACGGAAATGTTTCGAATGGTATAACGAATGCGACAATGCCATTAGAAGGTCAGAAATAGTTCCTGGAACTTACGAATATACAACTGCTGTTTCTTATGGAAACGTAGGAGTTTGGAGAAGGTTCTTCAACAACAGTAGATATTGCTTGCGACAGGTTCATATTATTTCTATTGACAACTCATTCTTATACGTGGAACAAGACATTGAAATAAAACCTTCTGCCAAGTTGTCTGACAAGAAAGGTTGCAATGGAATTTTCTATGTCGGATACCAATATGCTCCAGAAGTTTTCATGGGATATAAGATATATTCTAACTCTGACTTATTCAAACAGTAACATGGGCAAACTATGAATGGTTCGCTTGAGAAACTCAGTACAACCACAAGCTAGAGAACAAACAGACCAGTATGCAAATATAGAAAATAAGAAGACTTGACCCTAACGTTCCAGGAGTTTATGTTAACCTTTCTGGTTTCAGATGGAATGCTGCCACTAAAGTAAAACTGAAACTTAGAGTTCCTTTGTCATCTTTCCTCATCTTCAGGTTTTTAAGATACTTGCCAAACTGGGCAGGAAAAATTTCTATTGAACTTACTCCAAGCAAAAATAACTTAGTCATTGCACCAACACAAGACCCATTCAGCATTACTGTAGCTGGAACTGGTGGAGCCAAGTTCTGTGACTTTTGCAAAGACAAAGTTGACTTAGACTTTGGTTTCTCAAACTTCAACAATGAAGTAAACTATTATTTCAATGCTGCTGGAACTGCTTGGGACCCAGTTAATTCACATGCGAAAAATTTTGAATGCAAGAGAATAGAAAAGCAGACTTGCAGTCTATATGTTGGACCCAGATATTTCAAATGCTTTAGCTGCCAAATATATTGCAGTTCCACTTATTTCCCTATACACCAAATATCTGTCAAAGACTTTGCAGGTGAAGTTGGAAACCAAAAGTACTGACCCAGGTGCAAGAACAGATATTGCTTTAACAACTGCAATGAAACATGCAGATACTATGTTTGTACTGTTCAGACGAACTATAAATGACTATTTCTTGTTTCTACAACCCCGGTATTAAATATCATATAAACATAGATGGCAAATATTATCCAAGAGAAGAATATTTCTACAGTTGAGGATATGAGGTCATACAACTTGACATTAGATGCTATGAACTTTAACAACAACTTCACAACGACCATTAACCCTGAAATGCAAAGTTCTATTATGCCATATGTGAAAGTATGGACTCATACAGGAGGTCAAAAAACTCAATATACAAATGGAGACCGTTCAAACTTTTTGGCTTGGCATTCCATTTGCTGACTCAGAAGACTTTATGGGTGGTATTTCAACTGTTGGTACTGTACAAATACAATATACTGGTGACAGAGACGGTCCAGATGAACTGAGAGCAAAGAAGTTTACAAAACCAATAGCACTTTTCACGGAAGATGCTCTTTTGAAGATTCGTTCGATGAAACCTGCTGGGGCTCCTCAGATTGGATAACGACAGCTTCCATCGAGCAGATTTGGCAGCAGGTCAGTAAGTTGTTCTTGAACTGACTTCTCTCCGTCAAATATTGACAGTACGCCAGTTTTTGACATAATATTGTAAGATAAAACTTTCCTTTAGAAAATATCTGTAAGTTTTGAAGTTATATTTTTGTCTGCTTCAAGAACTTTCACCATTTCAGTTATACCAACTTTCTTTGCTTTATGAAAATATTTAGGTTCAGCAAAGACTGCTATTCTATAAACATTTTCCATTGTTTGTATAAAGAACTATTCTGTCAATGTATTTGTATTGTTTGTGTGTGTAAACTTTGTTCTGCTTCAATTCAAAGAGATACTCAAATACGTCCATCTTTTTATTCTAAGTAAAATGTCATTTCCGAAAAATAGAAGCGTGAGTGTTTCAAAAGGTTTAATGGCGGTGGCAGATGTGAAGTTAAATTCACCAACTCAAACAAACAGTCAAAGTGTTGTTGTCAATGTCAAAGACAGAGATGTTGAAGTGGGGAAACCATACGAGGACGAAGATGGTATAGCAATTGTTCCTGTAAAAGAACAACCAACATATCCTGAAGTTAGCAGAGACTTAAGTTCTGTTGCAGATATTCGAAACGACTACCAACAACTGAAAGACAAACTTCAAACTCAGGAGAAGATTTGTCAAGCTTTAAGTATAATGTTAAACTTGGTCGAACACAACCCTGTAAAAGTGAACTCATATGTCATTGCACCTCATGAAGTTTTGAAAGAACTATTGAAACTTTTGACAGAGGCAGACGATATAAACATCAAAGAAATAGAACCCGACATTAGTTGCTGTGGTGTTTCATATAATGTCATTGACAAGATATACGTTATGAAAGGAGGTGAAACGTTGAACTTAAAGTATAGTTTCCCAGACGTCATAAAAATATTTGACGACCACAACATTTTCATTAAAATTTATTTGCTAAGTAAAATGTCAAAACTTCTTGAAAGATGTTTGAAGAAAAATAATATAGACTTTATTTCATGTAAAGGACTTTATACACACTTTTGAACGATATGAAAGACCCTGTTTTTGTTTGTTCGTGTAGACAAAGGAAAGTTCTATGTCTTTACAAAATATTTGAACTTCTTAGACAGAGAACTTCAAGAAACGCCATGTGAAAGTTTAGATGAGTTCTTCTCCACTTTCAGAAAAACTTTTAAATATATATAAATGGCAGAAGATATAATGGTTTATACTATTACGACTAAAAACCCTGAGTCATATAATTCTATAACAACAAACTTACAAAGTCCTCAAGGACGGTATTGTAAACTAACTTTAAACACAATGACGACTAAAGCCTGTTTTGCTCTTTTGACACCAGAAGACTTTATTGTTGTGAATGGTAAAAAATACTCCTTTGAAGATACTTATTCAGATATACCACCAACAGGTTTTGTTGACTTATTTAATACTTTAAGGACGGGTGTAACATGTGCTGCAACTAGAGCAGGTTTCATTATGTTTGGATGTCCGACTGAGTTTACTATAAACAATATGAGCTATAATACAAAACTTATTTCTGGTTTTTACTACCAACAGTTTCCTATAACAGGAAAAGGTGTCATACAAGGAATGTCTATTCCATTGACATTAAGCATACCAATCTTATATATTGTTTCAAACTTAGGTTCAAAGTGTTATTCGAATGTCGACAGAAACTATTATGACCAAAAGATACTTATGCGTATAAACAATACTTTCTCTGCTGGTTTGCCTATTGTTCATTCGAATGCAGAATTTTCAACCTTAGTGAACTCAAACACTTTGGCAAGTATAACGTTGACATTAGTTGACGCAAACTTTGTTCCTGTAAAACTTTTATGTCCTATGTATTTGTCAATGACGGCAGAAAGTTTCGAATTGGAAGATGCAACTGGTGAAAGTATTGTATTACAAGAACAACTTCAACAACAAATAGCTCAAGAACAACAAATGCAACAAATGGAACAACAAAGTCAAGAATAAAAAAAAATATTTTTTTTTATTTTTATAAAAATGTACAGAATAGATGTTTCAGATTTTTATGACTTCCAAGCATTCAGAAATATGTGTCCATTTCGAGACTATAACAAAGCAGTCGAGAATTTGAAACGTTTAGTCATTTATGTTGACTCTGCCCCAGAATGTTATGTCATGAAAGAATGGGATGTTGTCTTTAACAAACCAAGAGCAACAATAGTGTCTGAACAAGAATGTAGACAGAAACTTAAGAAAATAAAAGTCGTACAAGTTGGCATGAAGATGTTAGATGCTTGGGATATCTTATTGTCAAAGTTAGAAGATTTTTCAGTTCGAGGTATAAAGTTCTATACACCTTCTCCAAACTTCTATTCTATCTTCACTGGATATAAATACGAACAAGTAGAATGGAAAGAAAATATTATAGAAGCTTGGTTAGACCATGTCAAAGAAATTATATGCAATGGAAACGAAAGAGTCTATGAGTATATCTTATGTTGGTTTGCAAACATCTTACAACATCCAAGTGCTAAAAATGAAACTGCTCTCATTATAATTGGAAAACAAGGAACAGGTAAGAACACATTCTTTACAGATATCTTATGCAAACTATTAGAGGGCTATTCGAACCCGAATATGACAAACTTAGAAAACATCTGCGGTAAATTTAACTCTTCAATTGAGAATATGAAACTTATAGTTTGCAATGAACTTCAAAGTATAGATACAACAAAAGTTTTGAACTCAGATGCTTTGAAGAGTCTTATAACAGACAAAGTTGGAGTTGTTGAAAGAAAGTATAAAGACCAAAGAGTTTGTGAAAATGTTGCAAACTTCATTATGGTTTCAAACAATGTTGTTCCGATGAAGTTAGAAAGTTCTGACAGAAGATATGTAGTTGTCAGAACGTCAGATTCTCATATGCAAGATACAGAATATTTTGACGACTTAGCAGAAACTTTGACATCTGACTTTTACAACCACTTGTTCTCATATTTTATGACATTAGATATTTCAAAGTTCAATCCAAGACAAATTCCACATACCGAAGAGAGACAAACATTGTTAGAAGCAAACAAGAGTGTATATGAACTGTTCATAGATGAAACTGACTTTGAGTGTTTAGATGAAAGGTCATTGTACGATTCGTATAAACAATATTGTCAAGAATATGGTTATATGGCAGCTTCTAAACGAACATTCTTGGCAAATGTCAAAAGTCTTTTAGATGTTCAGAATGGTGTATATACAAAGAAAAATTTTTCTGAGTAAATTTAAAAAAAAATCTTTTTTTATCCGATAGAAAAGATGGCAAAATTCATCTCAGTAAACAAGTACATGTCAGGACTTAAAGAAGAACTAGACTAGAGATGTGAAAACTTAAATTTTATAATCCCTGGGATGCACTTTCTTCGATTTTTTTTAAATTTTTGGGATAAATTTTGACATCTTTTTTTTTTGCTGGCGACCCCCCCGTTTAGGGCATCAAAAAAACATGTTGTTTCGTTTCAAGATCGGGATATGTTGTGAACCCGACTTCTTTCATTAATGAAGTGATTTCTTAAGTTGAATAAAAACAAATTTGATTGAAATTCATACAAAATTTCTTTTTATCATTATTATTTAAGATGCTTTTTTATGTTGAATTGTTAATTTTTTTATTTCCACCTGGGATATTTTGAATTGGGCTAGCCCAATCCCACCTCTCAATTTTCTCTCAATTGGGCAATGGGGATCCCATATAAAATGTATTGTAACAAAATTTTACATGCATAATATAGTACAATTAAACAACATTCTAAAAATATTAAATTCACATCATTTACTTGAAGATTTTATATTTTCAACAAAAATTAATACAATAATTACATTAAATTGAGGAGATTTATAATATTTATTATAAATTAAAATATTATTACTCATTAATTTGTTGAAATATTGCATTTTAGTGGTAAAAATTAAAATTTAAGTTTACATGGAGAAAAAAATTTTTAAATTCCAAAAAAAAATTCAATTGGGATAACGATAGGGACAAAAATTTAGAATCCCCATATGCTTGGGATAAAATCACATGACTAACTAGACCCATTCACATATTTGAATGTTTACTTCTACCATTTTGAAAAGTCTTCATTCAGCAAAGTTTGGAACATTGCACCAGTTAAGTTTGCTATTGTGACTAAAAATGGTGCGAAATTTGAAGACTTAGACATAGAAGGTTTGTTAGCAGTCAAAGAAAGTTTTGACAGAAGGTTCTCAAACCTTAAAGAAGGCAAAGCATACAAACTTGTTATACCTTATGAACCAAAGAAGACAGACGACTATGAATATTATGAGTCTAAGATAGTTGAAGTTCAAGGTAAATTGGGTAAAAAAGATTTAGAGTCTACCAGTGTTTGCTCCTAAAGAGGAAGAGAACATTGACATTGACCCAGAAATGTTCTAAAAATAAAATTTTATTTTTACATGTCAAATTTCTTTTTCTCTGGAACTGGTTCAGGTTCTTTCTTCTCTTCTTCTACTTTCTTTTCTTTCTTTTCTTTCTTTTCTCTCTTCTTCTTCTCTGGTGGAGTTATGTCAAATTTCTCCGAACCATATTTATGTAAAAGTTCTTTGTCCTTTAATAGCTCTTCTATTCTGTTTTCTATTTCATCTTCAAGAACAGCGCATGTGTCTTCTTTGCATTCTAAGAAGTTTTGTTGGACTTCATCTCTCCAATCGGCGTCATCTCTGTCAACAAGTCTGTCATTGACAAACTTAAAGACTTCTCTGCCTAATGTTTTATGGTTCTTGTCATATTCCAGAAACAGAACTTTAGAACAAATTCACCTTTCTTGTTTACACTATGTAAGATTTTATGGTCGACAGATGTTTTGCTGTCGAAAAGCTTGTCTCGAATATAGATAGCGAAATCGCTAGACATTTTCTAAAAGATAAAAATTTTAATTTTTCTAAAAAATATGTTAGAAAAAAAGTTTGCTGACATTGAAAGAAATTTGAGAATGTTTTAAACAAGAACAAGAGGAAGTTAGAAAATGCTCAGATAAAGCCTATACATGACAAGTTCTTATTTGCTCAGAATGGTATAACAGGTCTAATTGCACCACCTGGGTCGGGTAAGACTTTCACTTATCTTAAAATGGCTGCACAACAACAAGAACTAGATGAGAAGAACCCATTCTATGAGTTAGTTGTTATTTGTAGTACTTCTGGTCAATTTGACCAAACCGTCAATTCGTTCAAAGATATTATAAAGAAGTCTAAGTTAGTATGTATAAAAGACTCTGAGTTGTTAGATTGGATAAAGAAGTACCAAAGAAGGGTTTTGAAGTACAATGCTATAAATGAGTATATAAATTCTAAGTTTAAAGACCCAAATGAGGAAATGCAGAGAATATTAGAGAAGAAACACTTCAGAAACAAACAGAAAGAGATAGAATACATTTCGAAGAAATTGCAATCTTACGATTGGAAGACATACCCTCATAGATGTCTTCTTATCTTAGATGATTTCGCCTCTCATCCTTTGTTAAAGAATAGAGAACAAGATATGTGTCGAATTCTTAAGAAGCTCAGACACTTTAACATCTCAGTCGTAATATGTGTACAGACAGCAAAGAGTTTAAGTAAGGATGTTAAAAGAATACTTACTGACATTGTACTTTTCCCCGGATTGTCCGAAGACGATTTCATGGAACTTATGAAAGAGTCCATGGCAGGTAAGTTTGACAGACATGAACTATGGGAGAAGTACAAAGTCATACAAGACCCTCATACTTCTTTCAGAATTCATATCTACGCAAACAAAGTTCAAATTGTAAAAAGTCAAGCTTGAAAAATGTAAGTGTTTAGTCTTAGTAAGTCTGTTGTGGTGCTGGGGCTGTCGGTTCTTCTGGCTTTGGAAGGCATTCAGGAAGAGGAACGTCAGTCATCCGTTTGTGTCCTGTTGGAAGGAAGAACTTTTCCTGTCGGAAGGAAAAACTTTTCCTGTTGGAAGGAAAATTTTTTTCCTGTCGGATGGAAAAATTTTTCCTGTCGGATGGAAAATTTTTTTCTGAAGTTCGACCAAAAAGTTCTCAATTTTCGAAAATTTGAATGGTTTACGGACGGACAACTGGAAAATTTTTTCCTGTCGGATGGAAAAATTTTTTCTGTCGGAAGGAAGAACTTTTTCCAGTTGTCGGGAAAAACTTTTTCTGTCGGAAGGAAGGACTCGGAATGCCAGAAGGATTTGACAAGGCAATTTACCTTATAGAGCTACCTGAGCCATCTGAAGTCAAGCGTAAAAATAAAGAGTTCATCTACCCTACTTGTTTGAAGTTGTCAAAATACTCTGTTATTTTTTCCTTTAACAATGGCAAATCTTCTTTGAAGGTAAGTATTGTACAACCTTTCATATCATAGTGTGTTTGAGGTAACGTATCTTGAACTATTTGTTTCACATCTTCATTCGGTGTCATTGAAATCGGTAAGTTTTCGCGATAGAACCAATTTCTGTCAGATTTGTAAATCTTAGCAAGGTCGTAAAAGCTTTTGTTGTTTCTTCTGACTAAATGCAACATAACCATATCTTTATCTTCTTCATTTTCCATCTCTTCAGTATAAATCATATACTTATAGTTCTTTTCCTTTCCTTTTGGTACCGAACGTGGTATTCTTTTCTGAATGCTTTTGTCTTTTGCTTCAATGACTTCATCTTTTGCTTGAAGTTTCTTTTCCATCTCTTCACGTTCTTGTCTATGAATTTCATCTAACATCATGAAAATATAACAAGCATAACGAGGTGAAGCCCACATTGCAACAGCATTTACAAGAAGTCTATGTACATACCAACCTCTCAAACCATTTGGCAAATTTTTACGATTTTCGTACGGAATCTCGACCCTCGATTTTCCTAGGGTCGCAAACATATGAGGAAATTCTTCTAAAAGTTCTTTTGTCTGTTGGTTTTCAAACCAATGATATGCTTGCTTTGTAGAACGAAGAGCATTCAAAATACTTTGCATTTGGTACATATCGTCTTTGACTGAACGAATGAGACGTAACTGTTTGTTATACTGTATGTACTCATATTCTTCATTTATAGCTTCATGGACTATAACTGTTGTTGTGTTCTCTGTTGTTGACATATCTGTCTTTACATACAAAATAAAAAAATAAATAAAAATAAAACTAACTTTATTTTTTCTATCTTAAGGAAATTCACGATTTTCATAGAGTTTTATGCAAGACCGAAAAAAGTCTGTCTAGAGAAATTTCACTGTTTTCATGAGTTTTATGCAAGACCGAAAAAAGTCTGTCTAGAGAAATTTCACTGTTTTCATAGAGTTTTTTGACGACTAAGGTTTCTTACCTACTCGCTGTTCTTCACTGTTTTTCATACGGAATCTCTATCCTCGGTTTTTCGAGGGTAGCAATCTTATGCCATTTTACTCAGATTTTTGTGCTGAATTCAGCAAAAATATATTTTAGGGTAGAAGGTTAGATCTAACCTGTTTTTTCACCTTTTTTTTCACCTGTTTTCTCACAAGCGTTTTACATGGTAAACGTTATTTTTACATGTATTTTTCAGCAACTTCGTCAAATAATTTTATAGCTTTATTTATCTCATCTACTTCAAACGTTTCTTTACCTTTTATGGGAGCACCATACATTTTCTCAAACTTTTCAAGTAGTTCTGTTTCAGCAGCTCTCATATCGTTAACGAACACAACCTTAACTCTATTGACTGTACTGTCATATCTTTGAGTTATATTATATGTTCTTCCTATCTTATATCTTTTTGTATTGAAGTCCTTCGGTTTCTGAACGATGTAAAGTAAGCCTTCACTGCAACGTTCCGTATCGAATGAACCATATGTTATGAAGTTATATCCAACAACTGGGTCTAACCATAACAAAACTATTGGTATAAGACTTTTGTCGATGAGATATGCTGCAGTTCCATAGAATTTTACCGATATCATAAGCTCAGGATTTCTTGTCAAAATTTTCTGAGTAGAAGCAATTTTAACCCAGTCGTGTGTTTTCTTTCCAGATGGAGATAAAATGTCTGACAAAGAATATTTGTTGTATTTCTTTGAGTATCTTACGTTTAAATCACCTATTCTAACCACTTTGGTGTCATTGTCTATCTTTTTAACTGTTTCAAACTGAATGTTTGTCATTTCTGTTCTTACATACAAAATAAAAAAATAAAAAAAAATAAAAATAACTTTATTTTTTCTGTCTTAAGGAAACTCACGATTTTCATAGAGTTTTGGCGACCCAGAAAAAAAAAACGGTCTCGCTGTTCTTCACTGTTTTCATAGAGTTTTGGCGACTGGGGTTTCTTACCTACTCGCTGTTCTTCACGATTTTCATGTGTTTTAGGCAAGGCCGGTAAAATCCGGTCTAGAGAAATTTCACGATTTTCATGAGTTTTAGGCGACCCAGAAAAAAAAAACGGTCTCGCTGTTCTTCACTGTTTTCATAGAGTTTTGGCGACTAAGGTTTTCCGAGGGAAGCAATCTTATGCCATTTTACTCAGATTTTTGTGCTGAATTCAGCAAAAATATATTTTAGGGTAGAAGGTTAGATCTAACCTGTTTTCTAACCTGTTTTCTACCCTCATGAATTTTCATGATTTCTTCGTAAATGTTTTGTCAAGACTTCTTCGTAAATGTTTTGTCAAGACTTCTTCATCGTAAATGTTTTGTCAAGACTTCTTCGTAAATGTTTTGTCAAGACTTCTTCATCGTAAATGTTTTGTCAAGACTTCTTCATCGTAAATGTTTTGTCAAGACTTCTTCGTAAATGTTTTGTCAAGACTTCTTCATCGTAAATGTTTTGTCAAGACTTCTTCATCGTAATGAACGTATATGTTTTGTCAAGACTTCTTCATCGTAATGAGCGTAAATCAGACAAAAATAATGTTTAGGGTAGAAGGTTAGATCTAACCTCTTTTCTAACCTGTTTTCTACCCCAGTTATTTTATAAGCGTTTCACATGGTAAACGTTATTTTTGGAATTTTGTGAAAACTCAACGGTTTGACACAAGCCCTAAAAATTATTTTACTCAGAATTTTGTGCTGAATTCAGCAAAAATAATGTTTAGGTGAAGAGGTGAGATCTCACCCGTTTTCTCACCTGTTTTTTCACCTCAGTTATTTTATAAACGTTTTACATGAATTGTACGATGTATATTTGAAATCCTAAACAATTTCGTAGCTTCTATTTCTTCTGTCAGTATGTCAAAAGTTTTAACAATGCCGAAAGTTTCTTTATACTTCTTCTTGACGTCAGATAGAAGGAAATCTTCTGCTGTTGGATAGTTTTTGTTCAGAAATTCTAACATGTCCATTTTATCTTCTGCTGGCTTTTCTACTTCTTTCTTTAAATCTGCATAGTCGTTTCTCATACGTTCTATCTCTTTGACGGAGTAGTTATATTTCCTCATTGCTGCTTTACATTTTGAACATTGCGGGTTCATTTTTGCGTTATATTCTGAAACCTTACCTGCTAAAACAACTAAGGCGTCAATGGTTTTCTTTAAATCTGAAGCAGTTGGTTTTATCTGTTCGTTCCATACTTTACCTCTTCTATCTTTATCTCTTATCTGCCATACACATTCAGCAACTAACGAAACAAAGTTGTCGTAGGTCTTAAATTCTTCAGATTTATATATGTCAGAGATGTTCTTATATACCATGTCGCAATCTTTGTCCATAACCTTATGGTTGCAATGAAATCCTAGAAACTCATAGTTTACCTTTCGTATGAACTTCTTTATTTCTACTGAGTCAGTTGCTTTGACTTCAATTTCGTCGAATTCAGGAATAGTTAGTTTTTGCTGTTGGATTTCAGGTAGTTTAGGCAAATGGTCAATAATGTCCTGCATTTCATAAAGATACTGTTCATTTTCTTCATCTTTCGCACTACAGTCTAAATTACTTGTTAACAGTTCTTGCTTTATCTTCTGGATTTCTGTTTCAAAAGTATATGAAGAAGGAATAAAGCTTTTCATCTCTACTAACATAGATGTTGGATTCATAACTAAAGAGTTTGGTGCTGTTGTTTGAATTGTTGTTGTGCCGATTGTTGAAATCATATCTTACATACAAAATAAAAAAATAAAAAAAAATAAAACTAACTTTATTTTTTATTTCGGGAAAATTCATGAGGTGAAAAAAGAGGTGAAAAAACAGGTGAGATCTCACCTCTTCACCTAAACATTATTTTTGGGTCCTTTACACTCATTACGATGAAGTTTTGACAAAACATTTACGAAGAAGTCATGAAAATTCAAGAGGGTAGAAAAGAGGTTAGAAAAGAGGTTAAATCTAACCTTCTACCCTAAATTATATTTTTGCCAAATAAATGGTTCATTTACTCACAATATTTTTTTACAAAACGACCCCAAACTTTTAACTTCTTTTCTGCAGCTTCAAATGCTATCTTAGCGAGTTCATATTCTCTAAATTCTCTCTTTAAATCTTCTTGTTCCCATTGGTCTAGTTCGTATGGAGAGTCTCTATAACCATAACATATCTCACGTTCATGTTCTATTTGTTTTTCGCACATTTTTCTAACTTCTTCTTCGAACAAAGGTTTTGCATTTTCTACTGTATCTTCAAGTTCTTCTTCATCTAACTTCTCATGAACTTTCTTGTCTATGGAGTCCATAATTTTTCCAACTGCTATGCAATATTTTGGAGAAGCCCACATTGCTATATAGTTTAGAAGTCTTGGGTCTACATACGTTCCTCTAACCTGTCTGATTTCATCAGGAATTCCTGCATGAATTTTGTATAAAAACCAACCGCCGGAATTCCGACGGTTGCTATATTCTTCACAAAATGCCTTATAATACTCTTCCCAGGACTTATTTTCCAACAACTTTCTAAAGTCTTTCCTAAACTGCTGACACATATTTGTTGCATTTATATAACCATCCTTGTCTCTACGTAAGACTTCAATACCGTTGTAAGTGCCTTTTGTGAATGTTTCGCCATTATATTTGTTCGTGAATGTTTTTGCTTCGACTGACATTACTGTTCTTACAATAAAAATAAAAAATATTTTTTTTAAAAAACTAACTTTATTTTTTCTATCTTAAGGAAATTCTGTATAAAATTCTTGAGTTTTGTGTGTTTTCTACGATGTTAGAAAACAGGTTAGAAAACGTGTTAGATCTAACATTCTAACATAAACTTTATTTTTGCTGAATTCATGAGTTTTGGTTGAAAGAATACGATGGAGCCAAAAGTGGCTCGACCTCAAAACAAGCATTTTCTGTATAAAATTCATGAAAATTCAACAGGTGAGAAAAGTGGTTAGAAAACGTGTTAGATCTAACATGCTAACATAAAAGTATTTTTGTGCTATGTTTTCTGTATAAAATTCATGAAAATTCACGAGGTTAGAAAACAGGTGAGAAAAGAGGTGAGATCTCACCTCTTCACCTAAACATTATTTTTCAATACTTTTTCAGCACTTTTCCGTAGTTATATATGAAAGACAATTCGAGATAAAAGTCATAGTACAATGGAATAATATGTTGCACACCATTTGTTGTGAACCAAACTTGAAAGTCAGAGAAACTGTTACTAGGTGGTTCGTAGAATTTAGAAGCAAAGTCATAAAAGTCCTTACCAATACATAGAAAACTATTGTTGCTTGAACTGAAACTTGCATGACACATAACATTTTGAGGGTCAAACACGTTTCTATAAACTGTCAAATCTGCTGGTGGAAGTATAAATTTAAATGGACCATCTGGTGGTAATGGTTCGTTCTGGTTTAGTAACCGAAGAAATTGTGCCCAAGAACGTTTGTCTACTTCCCAAAATAAAAACTGTGTATCTCTTGGAGGGTTAATTTCAATCTTTTGAAATGAAACGGTGGAGTTCATCTTGTCATATTCTAGTTTCAGATAGTATGTTCCATTTAGTAAAGAGTCGTATTTTTCTTGAAATTCCCAATAATATTTGTTCATTTGAGTTTGAAAGTCATTTAGAGTTTTCTCAAGACTTTCGTCTGAACGAACTGTAAAGATTCTCATTTCGTCAAATTTGTCTATTAGACCATCAGAACCTTTATACTGCCCATGAAAATATACTGCGAACATAAATGCGTTAGTTCTTTTTGAAAACAAAACTCTTCTAAATCCTATTGCCTTTGCATCTGAAGGACTTTGAAGCCAACGAATTGGATAGTCAAACCTGTATATTCGGGATGAAATTTCTTCATCTGATATTGTCCTACCAGCATTTGTAAAGATATAGTCTAACGGTTTTGTATCTGCTACTTTTGTTCTTTGTTTTTCAACCTGAAGCATTTAATATATGTAAAAATATATTGTTTTAAAATGGTATGCCATATAGCTTCTTGAATTTGTTAAGAAGTATTTGAACGTTTTTTCCATCTGTATCTCTAGTGTTTACATAAGCATAGCCCGCCTTAGTAAAATATACTTGTAATTTCCTATAGTTTACGCCGGTATAAAAGTAGAAAGAGTCTTGTTCTTCGCTATAGTAGTAAAACTCAAACGTATGCTTGCCATAGTCTGTAATTTCAATTGTTTCATCTTCTAGTTCGTCGACAAATTCGAATACAATATCTCTAAATTTGCCTATGTTCTTATTGTTTCAGAACGAGTGACCCAACGTAAGTTTTCAAGTCTATTGTCGTTTCTTATATGGTTTATATGGTCTACAAAAGGTAAATTGTTAGGATTCAGTATAAAATGAGTTGCAATGACAACATGTTTAAGATAGTGTTTTCCACCCATCTTCATAACAGCATATCCGTTATTTCGCTCCCATTCGCTTAAAACTCTTTTTGTCTTTTTGTTTCTGACTTCAAATGACTCACAACAGTGAATTTCATATTTCTCATCTAACAAACAAGTTTCCCAACGGTCTTCTCCAACAAACTCAGCGTACATTTCAAATAAAATAAAAAAATGTCACTTTTTTAAAATAATTTTTTACTTCATGCAATGCTCACTAACATCGAAAGGCATGTCCATAAGACGTTCTTCTTCTAACCTCTCTAGTCTGTTTGGATAATTTGCACGTGCTGTTTCCAAATCCATTTCGTAGCGAAGACCAGCCAGTTTGTCATAGACTTTTATGGGTCTTCCCTTCCTATATTTAAAATTCTTCGAAACTCTCCAACCATATCTTTGCAACTCTGCTTTTATTCTAGCAGATTTTCTATCCATTCTATATGGGGGCATTTTTATAAAAATAAAAAAATATTTTTTTTCTTTACTTTACATAACCGCCTGCTGCCATAAGTCTTTGACGCCAACCCATACCAGCTAATGAAGGTTGACTTGGTTTAGTTTGGAAACTAAACTTTGGTTTTGGTTTATCTTCAGTTTTTGGTTTTTCTTCTTCTATCGGTTTTTCGTCACTTTTCGGTTTCTCTGACTTTACCTCACCTGCAGGAACAGTTGTGTCGTCAACATCTTCATAAATATCATATGCCATTTGTTTTTGTTTTCCTTTCAACTTTTTGTGTTTGTTGTAAAGTTTAGAATATTTCGACTCTAAGTCAATGAGATGTTCTATAATGAACTGTTGGTCAGTGAAGTAAACTTTTCCATCTGTTGTCTCTGCGGCTCTTCAGACTTCAATATTTTATTTGTGAGAGTCTGTTTCTTTTTTGAGATACTAGCCGTTCCATTTCTATGAAAAGTGACTTTGTAGTTAGGGTTTGTATTTCCAGACCTGGCACTTTCTATTATTGAATTTTTCTCTTCATCTGTAAGTTCTTTGACAGGTTTTGACAATGGTTCTGAACTTTTTGTTTGTGGTGTCAAATCTACCGTTTCAACTTCTTCGGTCATTTCAGGTCAGTAAAAAATTTTAGTTTGGTTTGTTTTCAACTGGTTGTTGTTGTTTTTTAAGTCGGTCTAAAACTTCCTGAGGTATAGGAAGAACTTGACAAACACGTTGTGTAACTGCTGGAAGTCGACAAAATCCATCTTGAACCCATTTGTCTCAATGCTGTATTGTTCATTTCATCTCAGTAAAAAACTTTACATTCCCCAAGTTTGAGGTGGTTGCGGTTGGTTATTGTTTACCCACTGTTGTGCATGGTTATATCCTCTGTTAAAGAATCTTTCACCTTGGTCCATATAGTGTCTGCTTGGTTATAGTAGTCCATTTGCTTTGTTATAATAGTTTCCTGCTTGTCTTCCTACATTGTCCATCCATCCTTGAACTTTTCCTCTTGTTTCAGGATTTGGAATAAGATTTGCTGCATCTCGTGCTACATCCCAACCTTTCTGTACAGTTTGTATAATAGGTTGTGCTTTCTCTTTAAGTATACCTAATGTACTCAAAATCTTCCTTCCAACTCCAAATACACCTCTGGCTATTGTTCCCACTGCGGCAAAAATCTGGATGCAACTCCTGCTAATGCGCCAAATAAACCCATTTCTTATGGGTTAAAAAATGACGAATCCAAACAAGACCCCTATGTTTCTAAAGCGACAAAGAAAGCACTCATGGTAAAAATCTTTAGTTCAACACCAAATGCTTGGTTTATGGATATCTTGGAAAACATTCCGAGGTATAGAGAAGATGGACCACCATACTGGCTAATATTTGTCGGTCAAAACACAAGATACTGTGAAGCCATACCATTACAGTCCAAAAATATTTTAGATATCTTAGCAGCTTTGACAATATTCGTTGACAAATACCATCCAACAAAACTGACATCTGACTGTGAAAGTTCTTTCAAATCAGATGATGTAAAAAACTATCTGCGTTTCAAAAAATGTAAACCAATATTTCATTGTCGACCAAAACCATTCTGCTCTTGGTGTCATTGACGGTTGTATAAAAATGTTAAGAGACTTAAACCAACCACAAGGTGGTGAAGCAAATGAAATGTCATATGACGACAAGTATAGACACTTCTCCATGGCAAAGATGAGACAAGTTTTAAATATTTACAATAGCCGTAAACAAAAAGGTTTGGGAAACCACTCCCCCGAAGAAATGAAAAACAACCCTGACTTAGAGAAAGACTATATATTTAATAATTTAGTCAAAGAGACAAACAAGAAAGAATGCCGGGCTTCAAACTTAAGAAAGGCGACAAAGTAAAAAATAGAAATACCTAAACGCGACCCATATGAAAATACTATTGACTATGACAACAATGGGAACCCGACAGGTACTCACATTCGTGTTCGTAAAAATAGAAGAAAGTATACAAGAGAATATTATGAAGTTTTAGGCAAACATGGCAAAATGTACACACTGCAAGCAGAAGATAAAACTACTATTGTCAGACCTCGTTTCAAACTTGTCAAAGTTCAAGGTGGTATACTTTCAAAGACAGTTCCTAACAAATATAAGACAACTCCTGACGAATATGCTAAAGAAGTTGAAAATGACGACTAAGCATTTCTATACCATGCGTAAACTGTCATGTAAGGTGGCATGTAGTCTTTACTTTGTCCCGTTGTTTGCGTATATCCCGAAACGCGATGTGTATGGTTTCCATCTCCCTGAGTGTTACCCCAGAAACAATTTATAGCAAACTGAACGTTGTCTTTAACATCATATCCTTTACCTTTTTTCATTGCTGACCAATCCCAAAAATTATGCTTATGCCAACCTGCTTGAGATGTACTTAAATCTATGTAGTGACTATGTGCAGGTAAATTTTCACCTGAAATCGTTTTACTTCCACCTGTTTCCTTTGAAGAGTTTGCACAATACAAAAACCTGTCGACTATTTGAGTCCAAGTTCCAAAACCCAGAACTGTTTCTGGTCTGGTAGAGTTCATTGACGTATAAATAGAGCCTATAGGATATAATGTTTGAAGCATTTCTGTCTTTAATGTTTGAAGCTCTGTTTTGTCTGCTTTCTTGTCATATAAATCTTGAGCAGTGAATTTAGTATTATATTCATCCTTCATGACATAAACATCTTTACATCTAATGTTTTTCATCGTCGTTATGTCGTCATCCGATGTTAAACCTTGTGGAAAGTTAGGAGGTTTACAATATATTGCATCCCCACCAGTTTCTTCAACCGTTCCTTCAATACTTTCTATAGCAACAGTTGTAAAACTTGTATGTGTATGAGTCTTATTTGCTTTCTTCTCTAACTCATCGTTAACATAAGTTTTATCTGCTTTAAGGTCTAAACATCCTGAAACCCATCCTGTATCGGCTTTAGTTTTTAAAATCTTCGATGTCCGTTCATGGTACCAGTCAACCCTTTCTATAATTTCTTTATCTTTTTCATCCACATATTCCTTATCCGCCTTCTTCACTAACACACTAGCCACATATTCCTTATCTGCTTTCTTTTCAAGGCTAACGTTTAAGTCTGTTATTTCAGATATAGAATGTGTATGAGTCTTTTTAGAATATTCGTTTTCAGCTCTTGTCACTTCACTTGACATTTTATTGTCAACATATATTTTGTCTGCTAGTTCAGGATGAGTATGTTCTTTTGTTGCATAAGCATTGTTAGCTCTTTCTTCTTCTTTTGCTATTGCATCGTCTACATATTCTTTGTCAGCTTTGTTGTCAACATCTGCTTTCAAAAGAAGTTCATTTATAGGTTTCTCGTTTAAAGTTCCTTTTGTTGGATTTATACAGACAGTATGGTTCTTATTGTCTTGAAACAGAAACTCATCTGTCATTGGGTTTAATGTCAGTTTTAAGTTTCCTTCTTTCAATGACTCAGATATCTTAGAATAGTTTGAAAAGTTTGTTGTGTTCTTATTTAGAGCTTGCATAATGAGTTGTCGGTTGTGTTGTATTTCTCTCATGGAAGCAATATCTTTCGACATTTTTATTCTAGATAAAATATGCTTTCAATAGAAAAAGAAAATTCAAGAGTTGCTACAACTAAACCATTAGATGAACTTTTTACTAATGTCGGTCAAAAGTTTGAGACAGAGACCGTAAAGCATGAAGGCTATCGTTTTGACTACCCATTAAGATGGCTAAGAGACCCATCTGTCACAAAAGCTATTGGCTTTCGTAGAATGAAGTTCATTTCAGAAGCCATACATGGTTTCCCATTTACGGTCGGTTTTGAAGTTCGATACTATAACAAAGAAAAACGTATGTATGAGAAATTTGAACAGGGAAAACTTTTACAAGTTAGTTTGCTTGTAAACTTAGAAACAACTCTTCAAGCTTTTCAAGAAAAAATAAACGACATCTATCTCGAATATGCAAACCAGTATAACATTGACGAAGGAGAGTACCATCTCGATATTATTTATGACAGGAAAAATGCAACTGTTAAAATCAATAGAATAGAAGACCTTGAGAAAACGTTTATATTTCTACAAAATATAACAACTTGGCATGGTATAGATTTTTGAGGATGTTAAATCAGCCTGCAGCATATCCAGTACACCCAGACTTTTATGAAGTCGAAAACCCTAATGGAACATATGAAAATGTTTTCGACCCAGCTGCTATTATTGTTCATGCTTCATTTTCTGGCGCCCAAAACTCTTTCTTATGCTTGGCAAATGACTTTTACGAAAAACCTACAAAGTTATACGAACCACCAAGTGGAAGTATTTCAGACTTTCAAGTATGGTTTACTACAGATGGAAGAAAAAGAATAATTCCATTATACCATGTGTTTTACTTAGAACTTAGTTTCATATACAACTACTATCGAACGGTAAAAATATAATTTTTTAATACGGTTGAGGTGTTGGATTTGGTTGCCAACTAGACTGTGGTGCAGGTTCAGGCTGTTGTATAACAGGAGCTTGTTCTTCTGGTTCAGGGTCTTTAGGTATAATACCAACAAACTGACCTACCCTTTTACCAATATTTTTGACACCGTTCCAAATTCCTCTTCCTACGGTTTTTATTCCATTCCATATACCTCTTCCAACATTTCGAAAGAAGTTTCCTATCTTACTGAAGAAACCCATTTTACTATATGTAAAAATCTAATGTCCGCCTAGTCTCTTACGTTTCCTGCTGAGTTCCATAGCATTCTTTAACTGGAGCTCATACATTCTGTTTCTCCTCTGATAGAAAACATATTCTGGGTCAACTCCTGTGTTCGCGTCATCTGCATAAAGTTGTTTATATCCCACTTCAGGGTTTGTATAAAACTCTTTCCATCTCATATTTGCATACCATGGTGGCAAACCTAACGCAGCGTCATTTGACATGGCAGTTTGCATTTGTACATCTGTTGGCACTTGACCATAGTTTGCCATTGCAGTTTGTATTCTAACTTCATTTGGAATATTCTCTGGGTTTGGTTGTCCAGGTTGCTGTGCATTCGCTAAGTTCTGTGCGTCCATTTAATATTAGATAAAAATATCTCTTACGAGTACATATACTGAACATTTGCAGGCATTGGTTCATCTTCATATTCTCTGTACTTTTCTGCCACGTCAAAGAAATAAATGACACAATGGAAAAAACCTAAAACAAGTAGTCCGATTTCAAACCACATTTACTTACTAATAAAATTTCTTTATTGTGACACTTTCTCCAGTTTATAGGACCTCTCTCATATTCTATCTTGTCATATATAAACTCATAGTCATGTATGTCCTCTAACCATCTCATAACGGTTTCCAAACCACTTTTATCGGATGTAAAGTAAAAGCATGGATGGTTATGTAAAACGTCTAAAGTTTCTAAAGAGTCTCTCAAAGTCCAGTCTACTTGGTATTGAAAATCCCATGTGTTATAGAACGGCGGGTCCACTATAAAGAAAACATTTTCCTTGTCTTTATATTTTTCATACAAATCTGTCCAATGACATCTCACAAACTCTATACCCTCAATATATTTTTCTATGTCCTCTTTGAAAACATTTGTATAGTTAAGATATAAAACTTTTGACATAAGTGTTTCAATGTCATGAACTCTTATAGAACCACTATATAATAGTCTAGCAGATATACTATCCCAGTCTATATATTCTGCTTTTTTCAAAACCTCTCTCACAATATTTTTGTTATCTAATGGTATACGTTCCATCTTACCTATAGGTATCTTTTCTTTTAACTCTTTCAATATATTGTTTGTGTCTGGAATATGTTTGAGACGGTCCATATAGTTGTCGAAGTCATTGCATATAATCTTTGAGTCTGGGAATATTATATGGCACAAATGGGATATATAGAAACTTCCACCGAACAAATCTACAAATGTTAGACCATTCGGTAGTTTCTTAAGTTCTCTCAATATAATATCTTTACATCTACTCTTATTTCCAAAGAACGGTAACGGTGGTTTTGTAAAATTCATTTATATATAATAATAAAAATGTTTTTTCCTGAAAAGTGACAGAAAAGTGACAAAACATTTACGAAGAAGTCTTGACAAAACATTTACGAAGAAGTCTTGACAAAACATTTACGATGAAATCATGAAAATTCAAGAGGTGAGAAAACAGGTGAGAAAACAGGTGAGATCTCACCTCTTCACCTAAACATTATTTTTGTCTGATTTTACGAAGAAGTCTTGACAAAACATTTACGAAGAAGTCTTGACAAAACATTTACGAAGAAGTCTTGACAAAACATTTACGAAGAAGTCTTGACAAAACATTTACGAAGAAGTCTTGACAAAACATTTACGAAGAAGTCTTGACAAAACATTTACGAAGAAGTCTTGACAAAACATTTACGAAGAAGTCTTGACAAAACATTTACGAAGAAGTCTTGACAAAACATGTACGTTCATGTTTGACAAAACATGAAAACATATATAATTTGTGAAAAGCGACACATTATATATAATGTTTTCGACCCAGAAGACTAACAATTTTTCCGAATAAAAACTTCATTTTTTACTAAACATCATCAGGGCTAGAAGGCACGAAGTGCCTGGAAGCCCCACTACCTTTTTTTTTTTTTTTTTTATGTTAATGTATAATATATGTAATTTCTGATATTATATGCTGATTCTAAAAAAACATTAATTTGATTTTCATAAATTTGAGTAGGTGCCAAAAGTGCTTACTCTTAAACAACCGTCGGATTTCCGGGTGAAATCGTGACACACTTTCGTCTTTCGTAGGCAGTGGTGGTTGTTACAAAAGGTAACTTCGAATGTAGCGTGAAATCTGCAAAAAAAATTCTGAAATTTGAATGGAGAACACAAAAATTGAATAGTTTACGTCAATAAAAAGGAGAAAAATGAAGCCAATGTGTCTCGAATCTAGGACTTAGAGCAGCAATCCCACTGTTTATCAAATTACACTACATGCATCTCTCACCTCAGTGAATGAGATCAACTATATGATAACTTTTTCCCCATTATATTCTTGTGGAAAAGTGACAAATAGCAACTTTGACCCTCTCTCCATAAATTTCGACAAAAAATGTTCTAAATACTATATATATTTTATAAGCATATTGAAACATCCTTATTATGGACTTTGCCAATTTAGGTCCATGAAAATTCAATATAGCACAGTAAAGCCGCAATACCCATTCAAAATCACTGACAGTATTGTAATCTCAAAATTTGATTTTAAGAAAGATCGTTTCTATTCATTCTCGTATAAAACTATCCCCTATGATTTTAACTCTGAAAAATTACTTCTGTTTTAATATTTCTGCAAAACTATAAGTCTGTATTGCTGATGTTTAGATATTTTGCGTAAAAATCAATAGTTTGCAAGCAATAGATGTTGTATTTTCTATAAAAACAAAGCATATTTATTCTAATTCGAAATCAAATTCAATTTGATCATTTTTCTTAAATAAAAATCAAAGATCTTCAAATATTTCGCACGGTCCGAATTCAGGAATCTTATCCAATTCTGAGTACATCAGAAAATTGTCATCGGGCATCGAAGATGTATCGAGATCAAGATTTAAATTTGATCCTTCGGAGTCTTTACAAGATTCGTCTTGCTCTTTTGCCTTCTTTTTCATCATATTTGCCTTTTCCTTTGCTTTAATATCTGATTCATAAGCGTAAATTGTAAGATTAGAAGTAGAAAAGCAACCCTTGTGGATATTAAATTTATTAGTCTTCTTTGTATAAGTGCATAAAATAATTTGACTCGGCGAATCAAGGATTGAAATGTATCTAATATCAGGATTTGAAGCCTTTAGAATTGATGCAACTTCTTCATAGTTTTTATTTTTCTTTAAGGTACTTAGCGCTAAATCAAAATAATCTTCCTTTACTTCAGGGTGATAAGTAGGAAGACGAGAAGCATTGAAAAATTTGGTGTTTGTAAGAGCTTCTCCTATTCCAAGTGCCCATGTTTGCTGAATAGATAGTTCTAACATGAATTTATATCTCTCAGTTTCTCGAAATGAAATAAATGGGATACCAAAATACCTGAGTGTTCGGCAATATGAGAATACAATTGAATCATATACATCTGAATCCCGAACATAATTATGGGCTTCAACACCAAAATTATGACATGCTGCAATCGATGACAACAAACTCCTTTTTTCTGCACGGTTAAGTTTCTTCTTTTGGACAATGCAGATCAAGTTTTTCATGTTCTTCATATGATTTTGGAAATATATTTTCAATTGAATTGAATATGAAAATGAGGAATTAATATGAGGTTCCAAATTGATTAAAAAGAATAAAAATCATATTTTGAAAACAAAAAATTGAGAAAGTAATAAGTCAAATAATTTAGTTAAAATTATTTAGATAAATCAATAGGTAAATATTCATAATAAACGACCATAAGAAATACAATGAATTGAAAATTTGAGGTTTTTGTGTTGAAAAGTTTGGCGGAGGTTTTTGTGATATGGAAAAATGTTCGTTGCTCAATTATCTCACTATTGGATGGACTTTTATCGAGCGAAATTTTGGCTGTAAAGACAATTCTGATATTGGTAACATGGTGATAAGAACAAATAGTCAGTTTGCATGGTTTATGATGAGATAATTTCGATTTAAAAAAAAACATAAAAATTGATTTTAATGAGCGATTATATTTGAATATGCTCTCCTAATTTGAAGGAACTGGTTAAATCATGAATTGATCATGAATAATTTTTTTTCGAAATAACAATTATAATTTCATATTCATTATAAGTTGAAAATATATCATAAAGACTTTATGAATGATAAATTCCTAAAAAACAAGTTAGTTTGTTTCTGAAAATAATAATAATAAAAACCAATTTAGACCCAATAATTTTTAGCGGGATAATTGAGATGTTACGATTGAATTAAAAAAAAAGCGGTAATATATTTTTACAATGATGAAGAGGCTGGCAACCTCTGAGTCAAAGCACTTGTTAATGCAATGATGAAGAGGTTGGCAACCTCTAAGTCAAAGCACTTGTTAATGCAATGATGAAGAGGCTGGCAACCTCTAAGTCAAAGCACTTGTTAATGCAATGATGAAGAGGCTGGCAACCTCTAAGTCAAAGCACTTGTTAATGCAATGATGAAGAGGCTGGCAACCTCTAAGTCAAAGCACTTGTTAATGCAATGATGAAGAGGCTGGCAACCTCTAAGTCAAAGCACTTGTTAATGCAATGATGAAGAGGCTGGCAACCTCTAAGTCAAAGCACTTGTTAATGCAATGATGAAGAGGCTGGCAACCTCTAAGTCAAAGCACTTGTTAATGCAATGATGAAGAGGTTGGCAACATCTGAGTTAAAATACTTTTCCCAGTGTGGGAGTAATTTGAAAAAAAAAATTTAGTTCATATATTGAAAAAAACAAAAGTAAAAATTAAAGTTTATAGGTTGTGTTTTGATGAGCTAATTGTTAAGATATTGTAGTTCTAAAGAAAAATTTGAGTTTCGAGGAAGTTTCTCGACAGAGGAAACTTTCATATCGAATGTTGCCTCTGTCGAGATGTATGTGACAGGCAAAGTGCAATCACCTATCAATATTGCACTTTGCCTGTCAAAAGTTCCTCGCATCTCTTGAGGTGTGAGGAAGTTTCTCGACAGAGGAAACTTTCATATCGAATGTTGCCTCTGTCGAGATGTATGTGACAGGCAAAGTGCAATCACCTATCAATATTGCACTTTGCCTGTCAAAAGTTCCTCGCATCTCTTGAGGTGTGAGGAAGTTTCTCGACAGAGGAAACTTTCATATCGAATGTTGCCTCTGTCGAGATGTATGTGACAGGCAAAGTGCAATATTGATAGTGATTGCACTTTGCCTCTCCAAACTCTCAAATATGCTTCTCACCATACATCAAACGGGCAAATTTCTCCTTAAATTTCTCTTTATTTGAAAGGTTTTCAACAAAGCTATACCTTAAAAATCTGTGCTTGTTATATCTGATCATTTGTGTGTTAGGGGAGGTAAATTTATTCCACTAGAGCAAATTTTTTCCGAGTTTCTCATTCGATGAGAAACCTCGGAACAACTCTTCAATAGTGTAATGAATTTGTGGTATTTGTCCTGCAAACAGCGAGAGAACTTGTCTGTAATTCGTTTATGATGAAGTTATCTGGATGTCTCTCAGATGAGGAAGGAAGTCCAGAAAACTTCACCATAAGTTAATACTTGTGTATTTCTATGACTCTCTTCACGTCAGAGAATGTAAATTTACTCGAATAGGGCAAAGTTCTGCTCAAGTTTCTCATTTGATGAGAAACCTCGGAAGAACTTTGCCCTAAGGTAATGTATATGTGATTGTTGGCCCGCAGAGAAACAAGGAATCTGTTTGTATTTCGTTTATGGTGAAGTTCTCGGATGTTCTCTCAAATTATATGGAAAATCAAGATTTCACCATAATTTGTTGTAGTTGTGATTCTCTGGCTCTTTGCCGGCCAGAAAACTAGAAAATAGTTTATAGTGGGAGTATGCTCGATGAATACCTACTCACTAAAAATATACGTTATTTTTTGTTTTCCTATGGGAAAATAGTTTTGATTTTTATACTATCGTATGCTTTGTTATTGCATGAATTGTCTATTTTCTTAATAAAAACTCATTTTTCCGTGTGATTCTGAATCAATGCATTCCAAAAAAGCGTTTTCCGCCTTTGAAACGTGAAAACACACATTGCATGAAGAATCAGAGAAGATTTTCTAACTCGAAGAATTCCAAAAAAAACCAATTATAGTTTTTTTATCGTGAAAAATTTACTTTTTAACTACGAAATTTTTAAAACGCGATTTTTTTGGAGATTTTTAGAAAATTCAAATATGATAGGCATGTGTTATTTTATGTGCTCTATGAGTTTATCAGCTTAATTTGGAGTTATTATCAAATTTCAAAAGTCTAAAAAATTGAAAGATAGAAAATCTTCTCTGATTCTTCATGCAATGTGTGTTTTCACGTTTCAAAGGCGGAAAACGCTTTTTTGGAATGCATTGATTCAGAATCACACGGAAAAATGAGTTTTTATTAAGAAAATAGACAATTCATGCAATAACAAAGCATACGATAGTATAAAAATCAAAACTATTTTCCCATAGGAAAACAAAAAATAACGTATATTTTTAGTGAGTAGGTATTCATCGAGCATACTCCCACTATAAACTATTTTCTAGTTTTCTGGCCGGCAAAGAGCCAGAGAATCACAACTACAACAAATTATGGTGAAGTTATCTTGATTTTCCATATAATTTGAGAGAACATCCGAGAACTTCACCATAAACGAAATACAAACAGATTCCTTGTTTCTCTGCGGGCCAACAATCACATATACATTACCTTAGGGCAAAGTTCTTCCGAGGTTTCTCATCAAATGAGAAACTTGAGCAGAACTTTGCCCTATTCGAGTAAATTTACATTCTCTGACGTGAAGAGAGTCATAGAAATACACAAGTATTAACTTATGGTGAAGTTTTCTGGACTTCCTTCCTCATCTGAGAGACATCCAGATAACTTCATCATAAACGAATTACAGACAAGTTCTCTCGCTGTTTGCAGGACAAATACCACAAATTCATTACACTATTGAAGAGTTGTTCCGAGGTTTCTCATTCGATGAGAAACCTCGGAAAAAATTTGCTCTAGTGGAATAAATTTACCTCCCCTAACACACAAATGATCAGATATAACAAGCACAGATTTTTAAGGTATAGCTTTGTTGAAAACCTTTCAACGAATGAGAAAGTTAGGAAAAACTCTACCTTATAAGATCAACTATAGAATTCATAGCTCTTTGAATACTAGGAAACATTAATGCAGTAGTTTAAGGCAAAGTTTTTCCGAGATCTACGAAGGATAGAGAGATCTCGGAAGAACTTTGCTCTGCACAAGTAATTTCAGAATCTATGGTCCTCTAAGGACCAGAGGACGGTAATGTAAAAGAATGATGTCAATAACAGATAAATAATAGCCTTAGAAGTTCAATACGTGCACAGTTTGACTACATTGCCCTAGTAGTTAGACTGTACAGGTATTGTACTTCTGGCCTAAAAAATCCTCATTGAAGACAATAGGTAGAAACTCAAATTGTTGATAAATATCCCAAAATATCATAAGAGAGCCCATTATTGTTACCTGGCTCCTTCCTGGCTTTCAAAGTCTGTAAACGAGAAGTCTTGGCTCTTGTGGTAATTGCTTCCAAGAGGTTTACTCAATTCGAGTAAAACTATAAACCCTGTAACTGACATGTACTTCCTTGAATGGGCATTAAAAGTAATTTAACCTAACGAATAGTAACATGACCACTATTTTGATGACTAAGAAATGTAATTCATCAAATTGGCAGTTCGATGAATGATACCATGCAATCAACAACTGGTTTGTTACAATTTGGCTTGATTCATCAAATTGGCGGTTTGATGAACCGAATATTGTAATCCAGACTAGGTCAGTTACAATTTGGCTTGATTCATCAAATTGGCGGTTTGATGAACCGAATATTGTAATCCAGACTAGGTCAGTTGCTTGTTGGTCATAGATAATAATGACACCTTTCAGTTTTTGTTAAACATCTCAATTATCCCGCTAAAAATTATTGGGTCTAAATTGGTTTTTATTATTATTATTTTCAGAAACAAACTAACTTGTTTTTTAGGAATTTATCATTCATAAAGTCTTTATGATATATTTTCAACTTATAATGAATATGAAATTATAATTGTTATTTCGAAAAAAAATTATTCATGATCAATTCATGATTTAACCAGTTCCTTCAAATTAGGAGAGCATATTCAAATATAATCGCTCATTAAAATCAATTTTTATGTTTTTTTTAAATCGAAATTATCTCATCATAAACCATGCAAACTGACTATTTGTTCTTATCACCATGTTACCAATATCAGAATTGTCTTTACAGCCAAAATTTCGCTCGATAAAAGTCCATCCAATAGTGAGATAATTGAGCAACGAACATTTTTCCATATCACAAAAACCTCCCCGAAAAGTTTTATCTAATTAAATAAAAGGTACATTCACTAGGCGATAACAGTAAAATGGGATAAAAATAGGATAAATAGCATCCCTATATAGTGCCTAACAATATTTATACGGGCCAAAAAAATTTGGCTAGAGATTTGGCGAGTTAGAAAACTTAGAAAATTGAGAGGGATTTTTATTTTTGAATTTTTTTGGAAAGTTAAAA